GTTGATTGGAATAGTTTCAGACGGCCTGGTACCAGCTCCTCTTTGTACCTGTGGTAGAATTTGACTCTGAATCTGTCTGGACCTGGACTTTTTTTAGTTGGTAGGCTATTAATTATTGCCTCAATTTCAGAGCCTGTTATTGGTCTATTCAGAGATTCAGCTTCTTCCTGGTTTAGTGTTGGGAGGGTGTATGTGTCCAGGAATTTATACATTTCTTCTAGATTTTCTAGTTTATTTGCGTAGAGGCATTTATAGTATTCTCTGATGGTAATTTGTATTTCTGTGGAATCAGGGGTGATATCCCCTTTATCATTTTTTATTGTGTCTATTTTATTCTTCTCTCTTTTCTTCTTTATTAGTCTTGCTAGCGGTCTATTTTGTTGATCTTTTCAAAAAACGAACTCCTGGATTCATTGATTTTTTTGAAGGGTTTTTCGTGTCTCTGTCTCTTTCAGTTCTACTCTGATCTTAAATATTTCTTGCCTTCTGCTAGCTTTTGAATGTGTTTGCTCTTGCTTTTCTAGTTCTTTTAGTTGTGATATTAGGGTGTTGATTTTAGATCTTTCTTGCTTTCTCTTGTGGGCATTTAGTGCTATAAATTTCCCTCTACACATTGTTTTAAATGTGTCCCAGAGATTCTGGTACATTGTGTCTTTGTTCTCATTGGTTTCAAAAATCATCTTTATTTATGCCTTCGTTCGTTATTTATCCAGTAGTCATTCAGGAGCAGGTTTTCCAGTTTCCATGTAGTTGAGCGGTTTTGAGTAAGTTTCTTAATCCTGAGTTCTAATTTGATTGCCTTGTGGTCTGAGAGACGGTTTGTTGTGATTTCTGTTCTTGTACATTTGCTGAGGAGTGCTTTACTCCAATTATGTGGTCAATTTTAGAATAAGTGCAGTGTAGTGCTGAGAAGAATGTATATTCTGTTGATTTGGGGTGGAGACTTCTTTAGATGTCTAATAGGTCTGCTTGGTGCAGAGCTGAGTTCAGGTCCTGGATATCCTTGTTAACCTTTTGTCTCATTGATCTTTCTAATATTGACAGTGGGGTGTTAAAGTCTCCCATTATTATTGTGTGAGAGTCTAAGTGTCTTTGTAGGTCTCCAAGTACTTGCTTTATGAATCTGGGTGCTCCTGTATTGGGTGCATATATATTTTTTGATGTCTCTTTTGATGTTTGTTGATTTAAAGTCTGTTTTATCAGAGACTAGGATTGCAACCCCTGCTCTTTTTTCTTTCCATTTGCTTGGTAGATCTTCCTCCATCCCTTTATTTTGAAACTATGTGTGTCTCTGCATGTGAAATGGGTCTCCTGAATACAGCACGCTGATGGGTCTTGACTATCCAATTTCCAGTCTGTGTCTTTTAATTGGGGCATTTAGCCCATTTAAATTTAACATTAATATTGTTATGTGTGAGTTTGATCCTGTAGTTACGATGTTCGCTGGTTATTTTGCCCGTTAATTGATGCAGTTTCTTTATAGCACCAATGGTCTTTACAATTTGGCCTGTTCTTGCAGTGGCTGATACTGGTTGTTCCTTTCCATGTTTAGTGCTTCCTTCAGGAACTCTTGTAAGGCAGGCCTGATGGTGACAGAATCTCTCAGCATTTGCTTGTCTGTAAAGTATTTTGTTTCTCCTTCACTTATGAAGCTTAGTTAGGCTGGCTATGAAATTCTGGGTTGAAATTTCTTTTCTTTAAGAATGTTGAATATTGGCCCCCACTCTCTTCTGGCTCGTAGGGTTTCTGCCGAGAGGTCCGCAGTTAGTCTGATGGGCTTCCCTTTGTGGGTAACTCGACCTTTCTCTCTGATTGCCATTGACACTTTTTCCTTCATTTCAACCTTGGTGAATCTCATGATTATGTGTCTGGGGGTTGTTCTTCTCGAGGAGTATTTTTGTGGTGCTCTCTGTATTTCCTGAATTTGAACATTGGCCTGCCTTGCTAGGTTGGGGAAGTTCTCCTGGATAATATCCTGAAGAGTGTTTTCCAACTTGGTTCCATTCTCCCTATGACTTTCAGATTTGTTCTTTTTTTAATTTATGCCTTCGTTCGTTATTTATCCAGTAGTCATTCAGGAGCAGGTTTTCCAGTTTCCATGTAGTTGAGTGGTTTTGAGTAAGTTTCTTAATCCTGAGTTTAATTTGATTGCCTTGTGGTCTGAGAGACGGTTTGTTGTGATTTCTGTTCTTGTACATTTGTTCAAACGTAGATTTGTTCTTTTCACATAGTTCCATATTTCTTGGAGGCTTTGTTCATTTCTTTTTACTCTCTTTTTTCTTACCTTGTCTTCTCACTTTGTTTCATTCATTTGATCTTCAATCACTGATACCCTTTCTTCCTGTGATCCAGTTGGCTACTGAAGCTTGTGCATGTGTCACGAAGTTCTCATGCCATGGTTTTCAGCTCCATCAGGTCATTTAAGGTCTTCTCTACACTGTTTATTCTAGTTAGCCATTCATCTAATCTTTTTTCAAGGTTTTTATCTTCCTTGAGATGGGTTCGAATATCCTGCTTTAGCTCAGAGAAGTTTGTTATTACTGACCTTCCGAAGCCTACTTCTGTCAACTCACCAAAGTCATTCTCTATCCAGCTTTGTTCCGTTATTGGCGAGGAGCTGCGATCCTTTGGAGGAGAAGAGGCCCCCTGATTTTTAGAATTTTCAGCTTTTCTGCTGTAGTTTCTCCCCATCTTTGTGGTTTTATCTACCTTTGGTCTTTGATGTTGGTGACCTACAGGTATGGTTTTGGTGTAGATGACCTTTTTGTTGATGTTGATGCTATTTCTTTCTCTTTGTTAGTTTTCCTTCTAACAGTCAGGTTCCTCAGCTGCAGGTCTGTTGGAGTTTGCTGGAGTTCCACTCCAGACCCTGTTTGCATGGGTATTACCAGCCGAGGCTGCAGAACATCAAATATTGCTGCCTGATCCTTCCTCTGGAAGCTGAGTGCCAGAGGGGCAGCCGCCTATATGAGGTGTCTGTTGGCTCCTACTGGGAGGTGTCTCCCAGTTAGGCTACAAGGGAGTCAGGGACCCACTTGAGGCAGCAGTCTGTCCATTCTCAGAGCTCAAACACCGTGCTGGGAGAACCATTGCTCTCTTCAGAGCTGTCAGACAGTGACGTTTAAGTCTGCAGGAGTTGTCTGCTGCCTTTTGTTCTGCTAAGCCCTGCCCACAGAGGTGGAGTCTAGAGGCAGTAGGCCTTTCTGAGCTGCGGTGGGCTGCGCCTAGAAAATACATATCCACATATAAATTATTAGAATTAATTATATAGTTTAAGGTTGTTTAGTACCAGGTCAATGTCCAATAATTAATTATATTTCTAAGAGTTGCAACAAACAAGAAATGCAGTTTAAGTAAAGATACCATTTACAATAGTATGAAAAATATCAAACACTGGAAATTTTTGTGGAAATTGTCAAGCAGATTCAAAAACTCATCCAGAAATTCAAAGCACCAAGAGGAGCTAAAATAATCTTAAAGCAGAAAAAGTGATAATTGCTTTACTCGATATCAAGATCTTTGATTAAACTACATAATTGAACACAGTTTGGTATTAGCACCAGGATAGAAAAATAGAGCAATGGAAGAAGATTAGAGAACCCAGAAATAGAGCCATGCATATATTAACACTTGATTTATAACAAAGTTGGCTTTATGGAACAGTAAGGGTAAGCTTTGACACTTTCCTCTTTTCACGTCATGCAGAAAAATTGATTCCAGTTGGATTATAGAGCTAAACATAAAAGGCAAAACAATAAATCTTCTTAAAGTTAATATAGATTATCTTTTTGACTTTAGAGAAAGATTTCTAAAATGAGACCCAAAACCCAGTAGCCATCAGGTATGATACCAATAAATGGAACTACTTTAAAATTAAGGACTGCTTCCCATCATAACACATCAGTACACTACAAAACAAGCTATAGAATGGGAGAAACATATCTTTACACATATAACCAAAAAAAGCACTTGAGTCTTAGAAAATCAAACTCTTCCAAGTCAGGGGCCAAAAAAGATAATCCAAAAAATACTGGAAGCAGATTGAACAGGCAAGTCAGAAAAGAAGCCAAAGAACATATCAAAGGGTGTTCAGTATCATTAATGATAAGAGAAAAGCAAATTAAAAACCTGATGAGATATCTTTACATATGTACGATAATGAGTTAAATTAAAATCTGACAATACAAAGTGTTTCTTAGGCTGTAAGGTGATGGAACTGTTGCTGGTGGGAGTGAAAACTAGTACAATTATTTTGAAAAACTATTTAGCATCTTCTGAAATGGAATATATGTGTATCCTGTTTTTGGAGCTCTAAACTGGAAAAACTCAGATGTCCAGCAACAGTAGAATGGATAAAAGAATGTATATTCATATGATGGAATTCTGTACAGTACTGAAAATCGACTACAGCTACAGAAAACAGTATTGATAAATCTCACATTATTGAGTGGAGAAAGAACACAAAATAATACTGCATGATCCCATTTATATGAAATTTAAAATTGATTAAATGTTTAGCAATGCAAGCTTAGGGAATAAACTATAAAGAAGAGCAAAGTTGTTATTACCATAAATGACAAGAGAGTGGTTGTTTTTAGAAAAGTGGGAAGATGTGGTAATTGACAGAGATCTGAGGGATATTTTTGGGGATTGCTGGCAGTGCCAGTGACCAGAATAGTAGTTGTATGGGTTAATTCACTAAGCTCTACATTTTGTTTTGTGTATTTTTTATTTGTGTTATTTCACGTACAAAAAGCTTTAAATATAATGTTACATTACAAAGGAATCATTATGCAAAGATTTGAAGGAATTAGAGTTAGTAAAATGATTGTTAGGCTCTTTCAGTGGTATATCACATTTAGTACAGCCAACATGGGAGGGCTTTGATAGTGAAAGATGGTGCATGATATAGCGAACAAACTCGATGGGAAAGAAAATATATTCACCTGTAAAAAGATATGTAAGATACTGGTCCTTTTCATCTCTAAATGTGTTTGCAGAAAACAAGTGTTCATAGTCGATTGGGGATTATTTATAATCCTACATCAAAAATAAATGAAGAGAACACAGCTATTTCTAGAGGAATTTTGGCAGCTTTTCTTACACAGAAGACCAGGTTTTTGAGAAGCTTTCTTGGGCAACTGGCAAAGGAAGAAACTGCTACAGCTATTTACTCTGGAGATAAAATTAAAACATTCCTTATTGAGGTCAGTAGCTATCTGAATATTAAATATGTACATATTGCATATTTTAAAAGTATAAGTGAATGTATTTGGAGATACTGTTACTGAAAAAGATTAACAGGTTTAAACAAATGGAGATAATAAACATTCCTTTTCAAATGGGAAAAGATAAACATTAAATGATATGACTTTGCACAGAGGCATTTAATAAATCAAATTTCATATGTTTTATTAACTACTTCATGATTCTTAAAGTTGATGGCATTTTTGTTAGGATATGTACTTAAGCGAATAATTGGGGGTTAAAGCGTTATGTAAATCTCAGGTATTTCACTGAAGGGGTCCATTATGGGGGGGAATTTCAATGGTGATCCTCTTGAAGAAAGAATCATTATTCATTCGAAAAATACATATTGATTGTTTATCAGACAATGGAGATAAACTTGTGAACAAGCAGATGGAGTCCCTGTCCCTGTTCTTTGTGGAGCTTACATTGTAGGAGAAAAGACAGACAAAATATTTATAAGTTGTTTTGATTGATTTGCTTTCAAAAGTCAGATCATTAGCTAAGGATTAGAGTGGCAGGATGTATTTTTAAAGGGTCGAGGACAAAAAGCGGAAACGTCGAATATTTTACTACTATTCTGAGAGTGAGAAAGTAAATTTAATACACTAGTGAAGGAAGATTTCTGGTCATTGCTGAGGGCCCACTTGAGATTAATGATCATAAATTTAAAGCGGGATCAGCGTTGGTCGTATGTTTTTCTCCAGCTGTATTTTACTGTTTTCATCCAGTTGCAGACTTAGCAGTTTTGTTTAACCAAGGTTGGGGTTTGGCCCAGTTTATATGACTGAGGGGGAGCATTTGAGGGAGCTAAACATGGAGAAAGTTTTGGTTTTAGTAAAGTACCCTGAAATAGAACTTGGTTAAAAGGAAATTATGCCATGGGAAGGATGATGGACAGTAAATAAATGGTAGAGTCTGTGGACTGAAAGGTTGAGTAATTAGGGATGGGGATGGTCATGAGGTTGTGGTCAGAAAGGGGATGATTGGAATGGGGATTTTGGAGGTAAAGAGGATCAGGGCCTACACGGTCCCACACCACAGCCACTGGCTACATATGGCTATTTTATACTTAAATTAAAATTAAATAAGATTTTAAATTCAGTTCCTCAGTCATAGTAGCCACATTTTGAATGCCACATAACCACGTGAGGCCTTGGCTGCCATATTGGACAATGCAAGAACATTTTCATCATCATGAGAGCATCTGGGAACTTGTTAGAAATTCAGAATTTAAGGCCCTGATTCTACTGAAGTAGATTCTGCATTTTAACAAGATACCAGGTGATTGATATGCACATTAAAGTTTGGGAAGTACTGAGAGAGAGAAATGCACCTTAATATGAAGGTGCAATGAGCATATATGTGGCTTATTTTCTGTGAATGTCCATATTTTTTTTACTTTGACCAAGGGTTATTTTTATTATTTCCATATTTAAATATATTATTACCAAACTGATCTTCTGGGATTAGTATGATGGGGAGAAAGGAGTATTTCCATTTTAACACTTTTTAAATTAAGAATACCAAATAAGAGGTACTGAGTTCAGAATTTAATAAATATTTAATTTCATTTTCTTCATATCAAATTTTATTTAAATTGATGTTCCCTAGTAATTTACTAATCTGGTAATTTCTCTGAAATTCTTGAATAATGAATAGCAAACTGTATAAACTTGTAACAAGATTTAAGCATGTTATAAATGACTTGTCAAAACACAATTCTTTTTTTAAAAATGTTCTTTCAGAAGAAAATTATACTAAATAATTTTTAAAAGTATTATATAAAATTTTATACTAATATTAAAGTAGCTTTTTAAGCAAAATGATTTAATATATTTACTGTTCTCGTATTAGTTTCATCAATCTTAACTTCTACTTTAGGGGATGAATAAGAATGCTTTTGAGAAAAAATATAACACTGTTGGAGTGAATATTTTTCGAACTCACCAGTTGTTCTGTCAAGATGTACTTAAATTGCGTCCTGGAGAAATGGGTATTGTCAGCAATGGGAGAGTAAGTAGAAAAAGCTATTGCTCTCTTTTCTCAGTGACACTGCAATGCACTGGTCTGACTTTTTCTGTCACAATTCACCTGATGTGACACACACACAGGACGGTGTTCATGAGCTGAAGACACCAGACACAACTCAGCATAAATAAAATGGGGTCATGACACACTTCCCATTCCTTCATTCTTTCCCCCATTCAATGATAACAATGATGTGGGTAAGGAAGAATGTTCTTTATGTGTCTTGCTTTTATTTTGTTCTAATGTAAGTATTAGAAGAAACAACGTCATGCACAGCATCCAAACATTGTCATTGAGAACCACTGTTGTAGTAGGTATACTAAGTAGGTTATTACGTCTTTTTTCTTGTTCCTACAGTTGTTTATGTTAAATGGCATTAGATACTATTATAAGTTTTGAAGTATCAAGTAGTATAAATTGCCATGTAGTTTTTATTAATAAAATATTTACAAAGCTCTAAGAAGGAAATCTCTTACTCTCCAACCACCCTAATAAAACTTAATAGCTTATTGTTTTTCCTTCCATTTTTGGTTTTTTAGAATACATCCTTATAATCCTACTATATATAATTTTATATCATGGTTTTCCTGTTAATATAAATGTTTTTCTGATTATAATCTTTGTAGACACATACAAAATAAGTGAATGATATCTATATACTAATATTTTTAATATGATAGTCTGATTTTATTTCATACAAATTGTTTAAGTAAAAAACTGAATCTGGTGCTTAGGTTTATTAAGAAGTCGATGAATGCAGTGTGTTTGACATATCTGTGGCTTGAATTTTCAAATTATATATCCCTAAATCATCTTCAAAGTTCTAATGCACTCTTAATGTGTTGTTTTTCACTTATTTATGAACTCTGCTCACCAGCATGTTAGATTCAGGTTCATCTGTGTACAGTACTATTTTACACATAAATGACAACAGCTGCCATTTATTGTAAAAAGTATTGGTGAATTTTGGTAGTGAGATATGTAGAACTCTATAAATAGCATTGCTTTTTCACTTTAAAAGTTACTTTGGGAGGAAATACAGCTTTTAAAAACAGTTCTAAAGCTTTTGGCTATCTTTGACCATGTCAAGCATTTTAAGGGATAAAGAGGGAAACAATGGCACCCATTTTATCTAGTGCCTTGCCTTTTAGTTATATACTAGGGAAAAGCTACCCTATGTCTTCTTTGTCATTTTGATATAATTAGTATAGTGTTATTGACATTAATGATAAATACTAGATACAATTATGTTCAACTTATTGCTCATAAACATAAAACTATGTTTTGTCCTCACTTTCCTTAAAATTGACAAAAATATTAAGATAGTAATCTTACACCTACTGTGAACCAAACATTTTTCTAGATGCTGAAGGCACAGCAGTAAACAACTAGGTTTTCATGGGGCTAATATTTTGATGGATAGAGAGAGACAACAAACAGCACCCTTACTGATAAGGCTAATATTTTGATGGATAGAGAGAGACAACAAACAGCACCGTTACTGATAAGGCATCTATCTTAAGTATGTTTATGCTGCTATAAAAATATGCCACAGACTGGCTAATTTATAAAGAACAGAAATTTATTTCTTATACTTCTGGATGCTTGGAAATGTAAGGCCAACATGCTGCCATTGATGTCTGGTGAGGGCTGCTATCTGCTCCCAGGATGGCCCCTTGTTGCTCTGTTTTTACATGGTGGAAGGTAGAAGGGCAACAGAGTGCTCCCTTCAGTCTTGAACTCTTTTGTTATAAGGATACAAATTCCATTCATGAGAGCAGAGCTCTCCTGGCTTAATCATCTCCCAAAGGCCACACCTCTCAGTGCTATCACATTGGCCACTAAGTTTCAACACATGGGTTTTGAGGGACACATTTTGTCTTAGTTTGTTTTGTGCTGCCGTAACAAAATACCCAAGACTATATAATCTCAGAAATGTATTAAAGAACAGAAATGTATTCTCTCATGCTTCTGGAGTCTGTGAAGTGCAAGATCAAGGCACTGGCATCTGATGGTAGCTTTCTTGCTGCATCCTCACATGGCAGAAGGCAGTGGGGTAAAAAGGGGATGAATGCTATGTTCCTACATGGCAAGAGAGAGCAAACCCACTCCTGAAAGCCTTTTTGTAGTGGCATTAGTCAATCTTGAGGGCACAGCCCTCATGACCTAAACACCTCCCATTAGGTCCCCAGCACTGTTGCATTGGGGATTCGGTTTCAACATAAATTTTGAAGAGGACAAAAACATTCAAACCATAGCACATTCATAGCAGTGTCATTTGGGCAAAGAACCAAAGGTGAAGGAGGAAGCCATGTCAAATATGTGGAAGAGGATTGTTCTAGACAGAGTACAATGAATGCAAAGGACGTGAGGTGAGATCATGTCTGTGAATCCTGTGAATCATGTCTGTTCTTCTAAGAATAGCAGGTAGGAAGAGAGCAGTCAGGAGAGAAGCTCAGAGAAGTAGCTGGGGGCCAGATCATACTGGGTTTTATAGGAAGTTTAAGGACTCCCACTTTACTCTGTGAATGAGTTGGGAAGCGCATAGTTAAGATTGGCATCATCTAGCTAATGTTTTCTTTGGATCACTAGAGGCTGTTAGTTGGGAATATACTATAGGGGGTCAGGAAGCCAGTTGGGAGATAATGCAATAGTCCAGATGAGAGATGATGGTGGCTTGGACCAGAATGATTCTAATGGTGTTGGTAAGAAGTGGATATGGGGTGTATTTTATATGAAGAATGGACAGGAATTTTCCAGGGACTTTGGTGTGAGATGTGAGAGAACTAAGTTACTGGCAGAATGGAGTTACTGTGGATCAAGATGAGGAAGGCTGCAGGGTGAGTGGGGTTGTCAGGAGCAGTATAAGAGGAAGGAAAGAGAATTCAGTTTGGACTTCCAAAAAGACTTGCTGAGAAGGTGATTGAATATGAGTGTAGTGCAGAGGAAGGATTGGGGCTAGAGATAGATATTAAGTCAAATTACGTTGACTTTTTGTGTTGACTAATGGAAACATGTAATTTTGATTATCTTTTTATTTGTATAACTGTGGTTTTAATAGAAAAGTATATTGGAAAATAAGTATTGTGTTTTATGAGCGATAATGTAATACTTAGCTTATCACTCTGAAAGTAATGCTATAAAGCCTAATAATCACAGCAATGTGGCAGATGTTATAAAAATTTGGAATCAGATAGTTTAATGCATGAAATGAGTATGATATTTTAGTGTAAATCTTCATTCTGAACCTGTTCAAATGTTTCCATTAGAATTGGAACATATATAAAGTTAGCATTATTTATAAATGATCAACAACTAGGGTACAATGATGATCACATAGTTTCTTAAAAACACTGAATAATTTAAAATTAACATTTAATATTAATGCCACAAGTAATGCCATTGTTATAATAATATTTATTTTACATATTCACAATTTGCTGAAAGACATAAGGTAGCAGGGAGCAGGAAAAAAAAACAAGGTCTTTTTTTTGTTTTATAGTCAGACAGATCTGGATTCAAATTCCAGTTGCACCATTTATTACATTACACTATGAGATCTGATTTCTTCATTTGGACAATGAGAATGGTAATAATCTGTCTTATAGGATTGTTGGAGTGATTAACAATGATATGCTCCAATATTTAAAGCACATAGAAGGAACCCAAACACAGAGTAAATTATCAGTAAATATTAACTGCCGTTTTCTCTCAAAATATTTAACGGGCTTCATGAAAAATAGTGGATATTTATAGACTTAATTTGTGTTACACTAGCTAAAAGTTAGCGTAAAATCAAAACTAGTTGATCAAACTTCTATGAGTAGAGAGAGATTTTTAGCTCAGTATGTGGATGAAAATCTGACAGAGTTTTCTGTAATTTTAATGACCTGTCAAATGAACTAATGCATTTCTGTTATGGCAATTACTCTATATAACTGAAAAATCACATTTCTAAAATGTTATGAAGAAAATTTAAGCAACGTAATTTTCAAGTTTATTGTTCTTTTTCCCAACTTGGACATTACATAATTTTATACTATTTAAGTTACTTTATTCCACAAATGTTCAATTTTAAATAGAACTAAGACACAGAAACATTAGGTTTCTCCTATTTGATGCTGTGCTTAAAGTAAGCAAAATACAGCCAGTTTTCTGGTAAATTTAATCAATAAAGATAGCCAATCTAGTTAACCCCTTAAGACAATACTTTAAGATTTTATTTCCTTATTCTATGTTACTGACAAAACTGCCCCTGTCGCTAGAGGTGGTATAGATAAAATTCAACTCTTTTCCAAGACTGCTGTTTCATATTAGGAAATGTAACATTGAATGTGCTTTCAAATTTACTTTTAAAATTATATCACGTCTTAAGACAATGAAATCTTTATATGAGTACTTTTAGTATTATAGTGCCCATTTTTGTGTTTTTAAGAGCCCATGTTTTATATTTAAGGTGAAACATGATATTTATTTAGTTGGGATGCCAAGATCCCAGTTAGTCACCTTTGATACGAGAAAATGGGATAGAAAGATTCAAGAACTATGCTTCAGTAATTTTTAGAAAACATGAACTGCAGAAGCAGGTGAAGGGGAAGTGAGAAAATCTGGTTACAGCCACTACATTCTGGTCTTTTTACCAAGAAAAACAATATTCTGGTTGACATGTTTTCTGATTATCATTAAATATAATTGTTTCGTACATATGATTATGTCAGTCTACAGGAGGGCTTTGTGTATGTGGTGTTAGAATGATTGTATGTACTAACTTCCTCAGAAAGTACTCATGGTAGTAGAGTCAGTAGTGGTTGTGATGGGAGAGCCATCCTGAGAAATTAGGTATGTGGCAATTTGGCAACTTCTAACTTTGTAGTTACTGGTTTAAAGTTAATGTAACTGACCTTGCTAGGCTCCTAACCATTTATACAGTATCAGTTAAAAGAAGGCTTGTCGGTATTATTACAATATGTATGTGATTTTTATGTGATTTGTCTCTTGGGTTTTGCTGTTTTATGGTTTTCTTATAAAGTAATTCATGTCTATATAGTGTAGACTACAATTTATAGATGAATGTGAAAGAAAATTGAAGTTAAAAGATTTTTTAAAATATAGACCATTGCTTTCAAAATTGAATTTAGATTGAAATGGTATTTGGAAGCATCATGATTTATGTTTCAAATCATGATTTATGATTTATGTTTCAAAGTAAAACTTTCTAATGGAAATAATTTGCTAGTTTTTTATATTGTCACTTTGATTTTGGTGTTTATACAGATGTTATTTGTAATATCCAAGTGAGAAAGTATTTGTATCTTGTTTTCTAGTGTATGGCAGGATTAGTAAATGGCAGGATTACCATATCTTTAATTCATTTTTGCTTAACAAAGAAGTATCTATTTGATGAGGAAATGTTTTCCTAAACTGGTATCTTCTAGAAGATATACTATAATGGTTTTTATTTTAAGTTTTTAGGACCTTTAGATGAAGATTTGTATGCAGAAGATTTTTACTTGTTGGAAAAGATAACATTTAGTAATTTAGTAGAGAAAATTAAAGACATTGTTGAAAATATGGGAATCAACTCAAATAAGTGAGTATATAAGTTCTAAGAGTATATAAGTTCTAAGTGAGTATATAAGTATATAAGTATATAAACTTGGGTTTGGTATTTTGAGTCTAATGTTTTTGTTTTAAGATTAGAAAATGTTTCAAATATATGGACAAGTAAAGGTATAATAAAAGGCATATATAAAGAATATAAGGAAATTATAAAAGACATCCATTTACTCACCATCACAAAACTGTAGATGTTAATGTTTTCTTTGCCTTGACTGTCTTTCTCCTTGTTTCTTACCCATCCACCCCAATCTCCTCCCTCCCCAAGAGGTGACCATTTTCCTAAAGGTTGTATGCATGGTTCCCATATTTGTGTTTATACTTTTGCTTCATATGTAAGTATCCATTATTGGTGTTTATTGTGTTGAAGGCTGTGACTGTTTTAGAGAAATGCTATTATACATAGGTCTCCCTTTGCAGTCTACTTCGGTAGATTTAACCATGTTCAGATATATAAAGCCTTTCTTGAAGCATTAATTGTAACATGAAATATGGAACTTTCTCTTTCCAAAAAACTCATACACTATTTGTCTTGTTTATCTAGCATGAGTGACTTTATTATGAAAGTTGATGCCCTTATGTCCTCTTTGCCTAAGCGTGCATCTCGATATGATGTCACATTTCTTAGGGAGAATCACAGGTAAGAATGTAATCGTATCTGTTTGTGGTTTTTCTGTTAATGCATGCAATTATTTCCATTTGTTTTCGTATCATGGTAAAATTTAAGGTAGAACTAAAAGTAATTTATTAGGGAATAAATGTACTTGACAGCATTAGGAAGATAAATTCTAGTTAGTTATATATTCTAGTAAATAAAGGGTAATATATATGGAGAGAGAGGATACGAAATTTCAAGTAAGTTAAGCATAGTATAATTTGTCATATTTTTAATATTTTTCATGCTTAAGATCATTTGTAATTTTTGCAGTATCTCAAGATAGTCATAAATAATATTATCTTTATATTTTCAATGTGTAAAGTGACGGAAGAGTCCTGATTAATCAAATGTAGGGTGGCCTCTGTCACAAAGCTAAACACAAAAGCATGAGCAAGAGTTCAGATGAGTGAAGGGAGGGTCCAGGCAAAGCTGAACAGTGTAGGCCCAGCTGCTGCCTCAGGCCAGCAAAGTGAATCAGCAGATCAGCAGCAAGTGTGTGAGCTGCAAAATTGCTGCTGCTGCCTCTCTGTCCTCTAGATCTCCTGAGAATCTCTGTTGTTGCCCACTCAAGCCAGAAACATTCTGGAAAATATGATTTAGCCTGGTCAAGTTGACACATTATAAAGCTGCTGCATGTACCAAGGGTCCAAGGATTTACTCTGTCAGGCTCCTGTGGTAGGATGGAAATAAAAGGCTGTTTAATCACTGTCATATGTGATTTCTATGCCCATATTCTCTATGAGAGTGCCTCGTTAATTGTAAAAGTAACTAAACTGCTTTTTAAAAAAATACTACTACTGAAGATTCCCTGAGCTTATGCAAGTGTCTTACAGTTATCACCTTTAGTAATTTTGTCTAGAAATACCATTTTTTATTTTGTCAAAGAGCATTCTTTCCTATCAAGGGAAATAATAATATTTTATAAATACGGTTAAATTTATATGTAAATTTCTATATTAAAGTCACACTCTGTTATCGAATTTTAGAAAATGTCAGTGAACCTTTGGAAATTGATAATTAGGATAATACAGTAGGCCACAGTGATGGGCAAATACTTCAGGTCACTTTACATTTGAATTTATGAATTATCAGTATTATTTCCATAGTTATGTCTGTATATTATTTCATGAGCATATGCGCATATACTTCTATAATCACATAAAAATATTTATTCACAGCTTTTTAGAGAGAGAGATGTGTGTGTATCAATATATATGTTTAAACACAGCATTGTATCTTTGCCATTCTGCTTCTATGTATATAGGGAGTTATTTTATAATTAAATATGTTAAAACACTTGTTATAAATCTGTTATTTCTGTATTGATATGTTTGATCTTAATTCCAACTTTTAAAATTTAAGTTGGCTTATAAGAAAATTTAAATTTGAGAAGGTAACTTAAATTAGAAGGTTTGCAAAAGGAGAAAGAAAAAAGTAGGAGTAAATTGAAATATGGAATAAAGTGAAAAATGAGAAAAAACAATTATATTTTTTCCCCAGCCCTGAAAGATCTCTATATTAGCCTATTCCCTTCCATTTAGACTGTGTGGATTTGCCATTCTCCTAACATCTTAGACAAAGGCAAAAACAGCGATCCTAACTACTCCCCCCGTCATCCCAGGAACTTACATCATTAAATGTAAGTTGTGTGAGAAACTATGAGGTCTTGAAGGAAGCCTTGCAGGCTGTGGCAGTAGTGACCCTCCTGCCGTGAGCATACCATGAATTTGGCTCTAAGTTATCCAGTTTATACAGTTCCTCAGTTCACAAGAGGAAAACAAACTAGATATTCAGGTGAAATGTAAGTATTCTTAGAAGAGAGAGGACAAAGGAATTTCTCCCAGGAGCCTTTATAAAGAGGATGCTATATGATGCACAGTGTTTTCAATATTCTTAAAATAGATTACTTGACCTATTTTATGGAAAGGTTAACAGTATCATAACAAAATTCAACTCAGAGTTTTCTATTGCAACAGCCTGTTTGAAATGTGTTCAGTATACCTGTAAGAGTTGATAAACTGTATATACCTAAGCAGTTCTTCACCCTTTTTTTTTTCTGACCTGGGCTTTAATAATTAAATGACTGTCAGTGTGCTTGACAGTGCTCTTCCTGGCTAATGACATGGAGTGTATCAATAGTTTTTTGGCAATTGAGTACAAATCTGTTACCTTAAATAGGTGGTCGTTAGGATGTTGTTGTTAATACTGCATGAGAAAAAGGATGTTCTGTTCCATTCTTGGGTTAGTCAGTGTAATACCTACTAGTGGGCTCGGGACTGTCCAGTACATATATAATCAGATGGTGGGGACTATGGAATTCTGCTTCATACAACTTCATAGAATTAGCAGTAGTCTGGGAGAAAAAAAGCAGCAAACACATGCATACTGAAGCCATGATAACATCTCTTAAGGCATACCTAAAATGACCAGTTTTGAGTGGTGTTACAAAGTAGGATAGTAATTTGTAAAATTTTCACCAAGGTAACTACAGGAAGCAACAACTGTCGAGAGTCAGTTTAATAGCAGAACATCTGATCTGTGGCTCTTACATCTAGCAATAATTATCCATTAAGGTCTGTTGTCTGACTATGCCCCTCTTATTTTAACATAACTAAATGATGTCAACTGCATAGAAAAATGTTTTGCAGTTTTCTATTCAGATGACCCATATTTGAAGTAACTATATTAGCTTTTTAAAAATTGCTGAGCAATTAATCCCCTCACTGCAGAAAGCCTTTTCCTACCAAAGAAACTAATATTCCTGTAACTACATGTGCACCTCTTGATTTGCTAACTTTTTTCCTTTGTAATAGTAAAATGTATAATTAATTCATCCTACATCTGAGAAAAAATATTTCCTACATGATTATAGTGTTAAAACAGTAATGCAGTAGAATATTCTCTGCTTTTAATCAAATATACACCATTAACTTTTTGTTACATTAAATATAGAATTGACTGTCTCCCTCTGGCCTATTCTGTACTTTTAATCATTTTCTCATTTCCCTTTAAAAAATTAGTCCATCTTCTAATTTAGAACTTATATTGGTGAAAGACAAAAACGGATAGGACAGAGGGAATGAGGTGAGGAGAGGAAGACTGGGATCAAAATAAAGGATGATTAATTTGGATATTTTTGTTCCTGAACTTACCTGTTACAGTATATTGATTTTTTGAAATACTAAATTTAATAAAGTAGAATAGTTAATTTTATTCCAAAAAATCTGAAGAAATATATTCCACTAACACGAAAACATCTTGGCTTTATTTTTTAAATTGTACAACCCATCAGAATTTTGAGGGCCTAAAATTATCAGAGTTTTTACACTAATGGGATCATTCTTTGAAAGGCTTTTAAAAAATTGCTTCATTCATAAAATCTTACTTCATTTTCTCTCATTCTTTTCAGTTTTGTAATTTGTTGAAAACAGATTTTCAAATTTGCATTGTGTGAAATAACCAGTATTTTACAATTTTAGTGAGAAAGAAAATAATTTATAAGAATTATATAGCTGAGATCATGATTAATTAGTTGTTTGTATAAACTTAACTCATCATCTTTCATCTTATTTTCTATTTTCTTAGTGTTATAAAGATGAATCCTCAAGAGAATGATACGTTCTTCGATGTCATCGCTATTGTTGATCCATTGACAAGAGAAGCACAGAAAATGGCACAATTATTGGTTGTAAGATAATATAAATTAGACTAAATATTTTTGTTTTTAAATTCATAATTTTTTCAAGTCTATTTTCAAGTATAATCAGCTGTTTGTGCTCTTGATTCTTCACCATTTTAATAGTGTCGTATTTCAATGCAGAAAATGAAATGATGGAGCTGTGCACAGGGTGTTGTTAGGACTGTGCTGAGGTTAGGTGGTGTTGTAAACTGCATTGTATTCCCCACAAAATTCATATTTCAACACATGAAACAGGTTTCAGTGAACTTGAAGCCCTAACCCCCAATGTGACACTCTCTGGAAATAGGGCTTTAAGGGGATCATTAAGGTTAACTGAGGTCATATGGGTGAGACCCTAATCCAATAGGATTGGTGGCCTTAAAAGAAGATGAAGAGAGGGAGACTTCGCAAAGAAGAGGTTATTTGAGCACACAGTGACATGTTAGCCACGTGCAAACTAGAAAGAGAGCTCTCCCCAGAAAACAAATCAGCTAGCATCTTGATCTTGGAATTCCCAGCTTCCAGAACTGTGAGAAAATACATTTCTGTTGTTTAAACCACTCCATCTGTGGTATTTTGTTATGTTAGCCTGAGAAGACTAATGCAGGTGTCTTTCATGTGTTGTGAAGTGTGGCTTTTGGAGAAGCTGAAGCTTAAGCTTAAGTGGATAAAACTTGGCTAACGTTATTTATTGTACTTTCCAAACAAGTGAAGCTGAGGAAAGGGGAAACATGGAGTTTGTATTCTATAGGTTTGGCCACTGTAACAAAGGCCAAAATAACACTACTTTCAAGACTGAGGTTTCTTTCCTTCATCTCCCGGTCTAAGTGTAGGCTGCCTTGGGGTTGCTAAAGCAGCTACACAGTGTGAGGGACTCAGGCACTGCCTGTGCCATTGTTGAGCAGTCACGAAGCACCTAAGATCACCAGTCAGGCCCTAACATCATCTCTGCACTTCTGCCAGCAGGAAGGGGAGAATAAGAACACAACCCCCAAGTTAGATGTATACTGTCCTATCACTTCTCACTGACCAGAAGGCCCCCAGGCTGGCTACACTGAATGACAAGGGAGGCTGGAAACTATGGCCACAAGTCCTGCATAAACCTGGAAATTCTAGACGAAATGAATGTGAAGAGACAGGTATCAGTCTCCAAAAGGACTTATGTGGCTTACTGTTTTACTTAGCACCACTTTCAAACATTCAAATTAGAATGCAGCTTTCAGTAGTTAAATTTGAATAAGCTAGTTCCATTAGAAGGCTGTATGTTTTTCTAGTGATATCGAAAATTTTACAAACTATTTGTCCTTTGGTAGTTGACTTCACTTTTGGAACAGGCAAAAGTAATTAGATAATGAGTCTGGTGAAAATGTAAGTGATCAAGCCATATGATTCTGCTGTATATTGAAATTTCAAAATGCAATTTTTTTTTAAGTAGTGCGTGCTGTCAAATCTCATTGGAAAATGAGATTTTATTAGTGGAGACAAATAATTTTGGAAAGACTTTGTCATTCTAGCTGTTCACTTTATGAAACGAGTAGGACAAACTTAATCCCATAACTGATTTACCTATTTGTTCTTTTAGCATTGGTTATACCTTTAAATTTATATGTCTTGAAATATACTATTCAGGTTATTCTTTAGAAAGCAATCACATCTGAAAGGAGTGGAGCTAGTATGATGCTTTTTAGTATGCAAAATCTCTATTCCTATGGAGAGCCATTATTCACAAAAAAGCATATTAGTTAAATTTGAAAAATTTTTATATAAAAGTAGAATTTAGGAGTAAGAAATGTGCAATTAGCCAAAGCAGGAAGATCACTTGAGAAATTGAAGACCAGCCTGGGCAACATAGCAAGACCCTGTCTCTAAAAAAAATAAATAAATAAGTCAAACATGATGCTGTGTACTTGTAGTTGTAGTTACTACTCAGGATGCTGAGGTGGGAGAATTGGTTGAGCCTAGGGATTTGAAGTTAACAGTGACCCATGATCACACCACTGCAGTCTATCCTTGGCAACAGAGCAAAACTATGTCTCGAAAGAAAGGAAGAGAGAGAGAGAGAATGAGAATGAGAGAGAAAGAAAGAGGAAATTATACAGAGATATAAAATATGGAATTGCATTCTAGTTTCCATCATTGGTAATAATAATGTACTTTATTTCTGAGTAACTTTATTTCTTAATTTATAACAGGATAATTTATTGGAAGAAATGGATAATTTCTCATCTAACACTTGAGAAAAACAGTGGTTCAGTGACCTCCAGAGTAGCAAATATGATGAGTGATAGAATAAGAATTGAAACTCAAATCTCTGTAATCCTTAGTCTTTATGTTCTAATTTCTCATCAAGCCTGTATTCTTTCTGTTACATGTATCTGTTTTGTTACTTCTCCCTTTACCTATATCCTTTGTTAGCTAATAGCTTTCGAATCTTCACTGACATGTTGCCTATGTGGAGATGGGGACTATCAAAATTAGTAATTCTTGCTCTACTTCTTATGATCCAGGGAAATGAAAAGAAAGTATTTATTTGTAGGTAGCCAAGAACTTCCGAATTCCAAAAGAATCAGGATACTGCCAATGTTGTTGTAAGGTCACCACTTTGTATTTGCAGATCAAGGTTCTAGTATACTAAGGAAATTTAGATACTATGAAAAAAAGTCACTTTAGGCAAAGGGCAAGCAACATAATCCTGGGACATTGAAATCAACTGTTGGGATTAAAATCTTGCCTCTGCTGTGAGTTACTGTGTGACCTTGAGCACATTAATCTCTCTGTACCTAAACTGCAAAAGCACTATTTCAGCAGGGCATTATAAGGATGAAGTGAGATAATGAACATAAAGTTTTAATATAGTACCTGGTACATAGTAAATGCATAACAAATATTAGCTATTAATATTATTTAATATCAAACCTGAGAATTTCTTTCCAATAGGTACTTGGCAAGATTATCAACATGAAGATAAAGTTGTTCATGAACTGTAGGGGCAGGCTTTCAGAAGCCCCTTTAGAGAGGTGAGTCTGAATGAACAAAATTTCATTTTGAAAAATTTGTAAATGCTGAGAAGAAAAAAAGAATCATTGTTACTGAATCTGTTTTTTTGTTTTCTTCACAAGATGCTTCACAGAAATAAGTCAGAAGGTCAGACGGTTTATTAACCTTAACTGACATAAAATTGATAGAAAAATTAAAATAACCTAATTCAGTAAAGTGATCTGACCTAATTACAGAATTTGTATGGATTTGTATTTATTCATAGGCATTTTTGGAAATGTGATTGAGGAATACCTATTTAGAAATATATCAGTGGAGGCCGGGCACGGTGGCTCAAGCCTGTAATCCCAGCACTTTGGGAGGCTGAGATGGGCGGATCATGAGGTCAGGAGATCGAGACCATCCTGGCTAACCCAGTGAACCCCCGTCTAGGCCGGGCGCGGTGGCTCAAGCCTGTAATCCCAGCACTTTGGGAGGCCGAGACGGGCGGATCACGAGGTCAGGAGATCGAAACCATCCTGGCTAACACGGTGAAACCCCGTCTCTATTAAGAAATACAAAAAACTAGCCGGGCGAGGTGGCGGACGCCTGTAGTCCCAGCTACTCGGGAGGCTGAGGCCGGAGAATGGCGTGAACCCGGGAGGCGGAGCTTGCAGTGAGCTGAGATCCGGCCACTGCACTCCAGCCTGGGCGACAGAGCAAGACTCTGTCTCAAAAAAAAAAAAAAAAAAAAAAAAAAGAAACCCCGTCTCTACTAAAAATACAAAAAACTAGCCGGGCGAGGTGGCGGGCGCCTGTAGTCCCAGCTACTCAGGAGGCTGAGGCAGGAGAATGGTGTGAACCCGGGAGGCGGAGCTTGCAATGAGCTGAGATCCGGCCACTGCACTCCAGCCTGGGCGACAGAGCGAGACTCCGTCTCAAAAAAAAAAAAAAAAAAAGAAATATATCAATGGGAAATAAGGTGGAATTAAACCATTTTTGGTTTATCATAATTACCAAAATGATCTTTATTATATCATCACATTTACTATTTGGGGGTATTAGGATACAATTAGTTTAGAATAACCTGCCAGAGATATAAAAAAACATTGTTTATAATTATATACAAATATTCCTCATTAACACCCCTGTGTTGAAATAACATTCTCTCTCAAGAGGGGACAAAAATATACCCATTCTCTTCTTTTTGGATCATAATCACTGTCATTGTGAGCCATTCTTATTGATAGGAATATTCAATTCTCCTTCATGTGTCATTGGGCAGAAAACAGGGTATGTACCATTGCACTAGTGTAGCTTTTTAAGACTTGTTAATGTGCTCATCTCTGTAGTATTTAATTATGTAATTCTAAAAAAAGTATGCATACACATACAAGATAGAAAGGTAGCATTCTGTTCATTCCTTGTTTACTTTTCAAATTGTATTTGTTACAACTGACATACTGTAGATTGTTGCCTTGAGCAGAACTTTTTTTTTTTTTTTTTTTTTTTTTTGGAGACAGGTTTTCACTCCCATTGCCCGGGCTGGGGCACCATCACAGCTCACTGCAGCCTCGACTTCTCAGGCTCAGGTGATTCTCTCACCTCAGCCTCCTGAGTAACTGGGACAACAGGTGTGTGCTACCACGCACAGTTTTGTGGTTTTTTGATTTTTGTTTTTGTATTTTTGTAGAGACGGGGTCTTGCCATGTTCTCCAGGCTGGTCTTGAACTCCTGGACTCAAGAGATACACCTGCCTTGTCCTCTCAAAATGCTGGCATTATAGGCATGAGCCACTGTGCCCAGCCAGAGCAGACATTTTAAACCTAAGTATTTTTAATAGTTGGAAAGCAATAAAATGGAAAATGTGGGAAATTTAAGTGAAAGTTTAGGACTTATTCATTGTCCCTCAAGACTCTTGTCCATATATCTCATTCAGTTTTTATGCTTCTCATGTGTCTTTTGTATTTTAAATTTTATGGCATGGCTTTTTACATCTGAACAAAAACTTTAAACTTTTTAGCTACTAATTGAAAGGTTTGTTAGTTCCATGAGTACAGAATTTTTATTCACAGGAGTAGGGATCCTCTCTGTAAAACATCACATTATATAATAAAGAATAGGATTATTGAACATATAAGCAAGCATAATCTACTGGGAGGGAAAGAATTGACTTTTCTAGATGAAATAATGTACTGGAGTAAACAGTTATTTTTTTAACTAGTAGTTCAACAGAATCTTATTAACTCAGTAGCATATATCAAGCAATCTAGCGTACACATTTATTCCCAGTCCTTTCCTTTTAGTAAATTTATTCTTCTCAGAGATGAGACAGATTAAGGGCAGGAATCCCCTCAACTCCTTACTCTTAACTGCTATACTTCCTCAGCCTTCCTGTACTGTAGGAAAAGAATGAGGCATCTTTCTTCTTTTTTAGGTAAACATTCCCTCTCTGTTTTGATCTCATGCTTTCCTGTTTGTTCTGGATCCTTGGTATGTCACATATTCTCTCTTTTGGATCTTTAGTCTCTATACTAGCTTTTTTCTTTCAGTTCTTACAGTTATTCAATTTGTTAAAAAGTTGCTCCCTTAACTTTCTCTCCTCTAGAGTCCTTTTTTTTCCCTCTTCTTCATTCCTTCTTATCTAAATTTCTTCAAAGAATGGTCACATTCTGTCTTCATGTCTCATTCACTGTACCTTCCACTGCAGTTCCTCTTTAACTTCCTCTTTGCCACTGAAATTGTATTTACTAAGTCACAGAGAAATTGTTACTTACAACATTCACAGAATACTTTTTCTTTGATATTTCCACTGCAGCAAGAATTTGTTTTGTACATTTACTTCATGACTGTATTCTCTCCTGTTTCTCCTCTTTTTATTTTCTTTGTCTATCTGCATAACATGGCTCCCAGTGATCACCACTGCCTGGGACTCACACTGTAAGTTCTCCTGGAGCGAGGGCTGGACCTAGTGATTTGGCTCTCATAAAACAATATGGCGAAAGTGATGGAATTTCCCTTCTGCAGTTAGGTTATGAAAGACTGTGACTTTTGTCTTGCTGACGTTCTCTCTCTGTGGCTCTTCTGTGTGCTTCTCTTTTGAAGCATGTTGGAGATGCCTTTTTGGGAAGTAACTGCGAGCAGTCTGCAGACAACTACCAGCAAGGAACTGCGGTCCTCATTCAGACAACCCTTGAGGAACTAGATGAACCTGGAAGTAGATCCTACCCTTGTTGAGCCTTGAGAGAACTACAGCACAGCTGACACCTTGACTGCAGTCTCAAAATAGTAAAAGCCACTAGCCTTGATAGCATAACATAATAATTCTTGTGCACAATATTGAAGGATGAGGTTAAAATACAGCAAAAGTGAAGTTAAGTCTAAAAGTGCTATTAAGCGGTTGCTTTCAACTTAATCCTGTTTGTTTTTAGTTGAGCTTTTAAAAGTGGTGCTAGAATTTCAGCTTGAATTTCACTTGTTTCCTATCATTTCTCTTCATATTATTGGTGGTGGTAAAAGTTAATAAAATAGCTGAAAAATAGACCACTGTCAGATTTGAAGGAGGATGCATACAAATCGTAATACAATAACAGATCATAAACTACTAGAACCTGCATAAGTCAGGTATATCTTAGAGGGATTCTAATCATGTTCATTAAGGAATAGTTAACAATGGTAGACAATATTCATAGACTTAGATAGTAGTGTCAACAAAATAATGATTGTCTATTTCTTATAAGCATTAACTCTTCTGCAGTATAGTGTGTTTTAGTCTTTTTGTTTGTAGACTTCTGGTCAGATCATTAAGCCATTTTCAATTTTAAAAATATTTTAGAAGAAAAATCTCAGTTTTGGTCACATTATGTATTTTTATGTTTTATTAACAGCTTTTACCGTTTTGTTCTGGAACCAGAACTGATGTCAGGGGCTAATGACGTTTCTTCTCTGGGACCGGTGGCAAAATTTTTGGATATTCCTGAATCACCCCTCCTAACCCTCAACATGATTACTCCAGAAGGCTGGTTGGTTGAAACAGTACACAGCAACTGTGACCTTGATAATATTCACTTAAAGGATGTAAGTTATTGTGTATAGTCATATAAAGAGAGAGAAACAGGATAAATTCTTATCAGCTATTACAATTGTAGCAAGTGAGCGATCATACTATGAATGTTTACCAGAATATTCTTTTTTATATTCTAGGTCCTGATCCAGTCTTTCTTTTGATTTTTAGGTTTTTCTCATTTCCAAATTCAGCTTCTCTGGTTTTCCAAGTTCCTAGGTGTCTTTACCTTTTTTCTTTCTTTCTTTTTGCCTCAGACTACTTACTTACAAAGATACTTCTCTAAGATGAGCAATGTCAAAAATATGGAGAGAAACACTTGGCAGCTTAGTACAACACCATTAAGTACTTATTTTGCTCTTGAAGTTTAGTTTTTAACTCAGAGAGCAAATTTCACACAAAACTGTTTCATTGTTGTTGGTTTTGTTTTTTTTGTTTGTTTGCTTTTGTTTGTTTTTTGTTTTTTTGTTTTGCCTCATAGCTCATAGCCAGAGAAAGTAGTCCTAACTAGATTAGGGTAGAAAGTAGGAAACAAAATTTGCGGTATACTGCAGGCCAGGTATACCTCCTTCTCATCACCCCCTATATGACCCTTGTCTAGTGAGTAGTCAGAATTCTCTGCCTCAGCTGTTGTGATTCACAGCACAGAAAGAAAGTACTAAACTGAGTCTTTTAAACATTGAATTTAGAATGAGAAAAGGAATTCAGAAACCACAAAAAAGGGAAGCATTTTAGAAGAATTTAAGATATGTGTGTTGGTCTGTTTTCACACTAGTATAAAGAACTGTCTGAGACTGGGTAATTTAAGAAGAAAAGAGGCTTAATTAACTCATAGTTTCGCATGGCTAGGGAGGCAGGCCTCCAGAAACAATCATGGCATCATGGTGGAAGGGGAAGCCAGGCCCCGCTCACGTGACAGCAGGAGTGTGAGGGGAGTGCCACACACTTTTACATTATCAGACCTCATGAGTACTCACTACCATGAGAACAGCAAGGGGGAAATTGCCCCCATGATCCAGTCACTTCCCACCAAGCCCCTCCCCTGACACGTGGGGATTACAGTTAGATGTGAGATCTGGGTGGGTACACAGAGCCAAACCATATCACTTGGTATCCAGAAAATGAGGAAAAAATACTTCCTTCTCCTCATTGTCATCCCTCTGACCTATTTCCAACTCTTTGTGTCTGATACCTCCTATAGAATATAGCCATTGCCCTGACCGAAGCATAAACATTTACCCATAATAATTTGGTTAAGATTGTTTATAATGTTTATGTCTCATGCTTATGCATTACCTTTTGCCTAAAGATTTTCCTTCTAGGAAATTTTATTGTGATCCACTCGTGTGTGGATTCTGTGGGATCCTAAATCACTTTTCTGTAACATACTCCCCATCACTCCCAGCTGAACCCACCTAAAAACCTAAACTCAGTCATAACCATCTTCTAATATCAGTCCTTCAAATTTAGAGAAAAAGCAGCAAACTAATATCATTAATGAGAAAAAGTTAACAAATGAATCTTACAAGAAGTGAAAAAAAAAATTGCTGTTTTTTCCATCATCAGTCAGATCTCTTAACAGAGTCTGGAATTCTTCATAAAGAGAGTGCGGCAATATACTCAATAAGGTAACTTTTAAACACCCTATCCAAAAGTGGGAAGTGTTTGTAGTGGGAGAAATTAGTACAGCTTAGGAAAGATTTTAAATTGTCTGCTGGTGAAAATTTCAGCAGCTATTCAACAGCCGATGGAGATTAACTAAAACTTTTTTTTGTAGTGAGTGTCAAATCTAATAGCGTCTTTTTAGAAGGTGTTCAGATGAACACTAGCTCTGACTCTGAAGTTAGAAGACTAGGATGAAGGAAAATTTCCTGTGTTTTCATAGTTTAGGTGAATAAACAAAAGGAGATTATAAATTCTAGCATCTGTAAAAGTTAGCTACACCTCAGGCTCATCTTTTTCATTGTGTGCTATACATACTTAAAATATTCTGCAACCATCCTGGAAAAATAACAAAGGCATTTGGTATAGTAGAAAGGATTTTTAGACAAAGGGGAAAAGTGTGTACACCCTGGCAAAAATGAGACTAACAATGAGATATTTACCACCATATACTAACTTGTGCAAATAATCCTGGTTACACCTAATTCCCAAACACTATACAAACACCTGGAAAAACTTGATCTTGGAAAATTTTCCCTTGGCAAGACTTTGTTCACATGATTGTCACTACATTGACATTATTGCACAACCAGCATTAATTCCATAATTAAGGGTGACAAAAATGATTAAGAAAGCTAGGCCAGGCACGGTGGCTCACACCTGTAATCCCAGCACTTTGGGAGGCCAAGGCGGGTGGATCATGAGGTCAGGGGTTTGAGACCAGCCTGACCAACATAGTGAAGCCCCGTTTCTACTAAAAATACAAAAATTAGCCAGGCATAGTGGTGCACGCCTATAATTCCAGCTACTCAGGAGGCTGAGCAGGAGAATTACTTGAATCCGGGAAGTGGAGGTTACAGTGAGCCAAGATTGTGCCACAGCACTCCAGCCTGGGTGACAGAGCAAGATTCTGTCTCAAAAAAAAAAAAAAAAAGCTAAAAGTGAGACAGTTACTTTTACCTGGAGTTCAGATGTGTTGCTATTCTCAGCAATTATTGTTAGAACTGCATCCAAAGACTCTCTAATTATATTTTATCACAGCATATGTCTGAAAGATATCAAAACACCTGAAACAACAATGGTGCTTACCAAGGGAAGAGAAGATGCAAAAAATAAAAGATTGCTAACAGGAAATAGGATGTGACTCTGTTAAAAAGAATTCACAGAAAAATGCATTAACCCCTCTGAAACATAAATAATTTTGATATCTGTTTTATTGATATTTATTGATATATTCATTACAAATATAATTGTGAAAGAATCTCTGTTTGCCAGAGATATGGTATAGATCCTAAATAATGCTATATTATAAATTAGATGAACACAGTTCATCTTAGGCTCAGTTTATTCTCTCAGTGCATAATATATGAAATTTATATCTCTCATCGTCAAACGCTTAAAAAATTTGGGAAAAGGTCACATTTGCAGTGAAGAGTTCTGTCCCTTCTGCAAAACTTAGAAATTTAAACCAAACCTTAACTAACTTGGAAATCTATATATCAGAATAGTTGTACTTTAGAAGTCTCCCTTAATCCACAAGGAGTTTGTTCTAAGATACCCCGACCCACTCAGTGGATACCTGAAAACACACAGAGTACCTAACCTTATATACATTGTTTTGTTTTGTTTGTTTTGTTTTGAGACAGAGGCTTGCTCTTTGTCACCCAGACTGGAGTGCAGTGGTGCGATCTCAGCTCACTGCAAGCTCCGCCTCCCGGGTTCGCGCCATTTTCCTGCCTCAGCTGCCGTCCCCTGCCCCGCCCAGTAGCTGGGACTGCAGGCGCCCACCACCACACGCGGCTTATTCTTTGTATTTTTAGTAGAGACCACCGTGTGAGCTGGGATAGTCTTGATCTCCTGACCTCGTGATGCACCCACCTCAGCCTCCCAAAGTGCTAGGATTACAGTCGTGAACCACTGCGCCTGGCCATGTTTTGTTTTTTTTATATACATAACTACCTATGATAAGATTTAATTCGTAAATTAGGCACAGTAGAGATTAACCTTAATAACTAATAATAAATAGAACAATTATAAAAGTAGGTCATCATCCTCTTGTGCTTTGGGGTCACTAAGTGAAATAAGGGTCCCTTGAACACAAGCACTGTCATGCGAGATTTTATTACAATACTCAGTGCACAGTTTAAAACTTATGAGTTGTTTATTTCTGGAATTTTTCACGTATTTTTGGACCATGGTTGACTGAGGGTAACTGAAACTGTACAAAGAGAAACCACAGATAAAGGAAGACTACTGTACCTTATATGCCTCAAGCCACCTAATTATCTAAAACGAATTCCTTACTTTAACTCTTTCTTGGATTTTTGCCCAGAGTCCTGAATAGTTTCTTAAAGTTCAGACTGCACTAAAGTCATTAAGTTCAGCCTTCACATGCCTTAAGATAAGATTCAAGAATAAGCTGTACTGTCATTTATCCATCTCCACTATCAGATAGCTTGTCAGAGTTCAGATCACAGATCAAGATATGTGTTATGGCTTTGCTGTTAATAACTTGGGAAAATGTGTCTGCAGTTACACAAAATCACATTCAATGGCAACAAAAATACTAGATTAACGTATTTACAGACAATTGTTAACAAACCCAAATGTTAATGTTTATTATTAAACTTAACCTTTTCTTAAAGGAAGACACATAGCTATTCAGCCACAGAAGAACAATACAATTAATATCCTATTAGAAAAATTAATATGTTTCTTGGACACAGGGAGGGGAACATCACAGGCCGGGACTTGTTGCGGGGCGGAGGGGCTAGGGGAAGGAATAGCATTAGGAGAAATACCTAATGTAGATAACAGGTTGATGGGTGCGGCAAACCACCACGACATGTGTATACCTATGTAACAAACCTGCACATTCTGCATATGTACCCCAGAACTTAAAGTATAAAAAAAAGAAAAATTAATACATTTTCAAGGTTATATTTGAAAGGTATTAAATTTATGTCTGTATCAACAATTAATATTTAGAACAGAAAATAAAAATATAAATGGAAGATTGAAACGTAAGTGTCAAAAAAGATCACTAACTTTCATATTTTTGCTAAAAGTGAACTTTGTGGCCAGGTGCGTTGGCTCACACCTATAATCTCAGCACTTTGGGATGCCAAGATCACTTGAAGGCAGGATTCGAGATCAGCCTGGCCAACGTGGTAAAACCCCATCTTTACTAAAACTACAAAAAATTAGCTGGAAGTGGTGGCCTGTTCCTGTAATCCCAGCTACTCGGGAGGCTGAGGTGGGAGAATCGCTTAAGCCTAGGAGATGGATGTTGCAGTGAGCCAAGATCGTGCCACTGTACTCCAGCCTGGGTGACAGAGTGAGACCCTGTCTCAAACAAACAAATAAATAAATGAGTTTTGAAAATAGGAACTAATTTAACTTAAATCACCTCTATGAAAACTTAAAATATTCACTAGAACTCTTTGGAAAAGGAATTGGCTGTGTTTTTATGTTGTGGTTTGAATAAGTCAACAGAATTGAAGTCTGTTATATAAATCTATAGGAACAAGATAAATTTGCACATTAATATATTATAAAATTAAGAAGATACTATTATTCACAAACTGGGTAAGTGTATTTAGACTCTTCCCTAGTACCTAATTTATAATAAAATAATTGAGCTGAGCTTTACAGTCACTTTGGTGTATAGCTTCCTTGTCTATAAAGTGAGGGTGCTGAACTACATGATCTCTACAATCTTTTTCTAATTTTAACATTCTCATATTATTCTGAGACTATCCCATGAAAATCTTTCCAGTCAAGTAAATTGCTGTAAAGACTCTGGATATAGGTTAATAAATTATATAAAGTTCATCCCTAGAATAGTAATTCAACAACAAATTCAGAATTCAGCTAAAGTTGTTGAAACAAATACTGTCTTCAGAGAAGTTACTTAATTTTTGTTCTTAAAACCAGTAAAATAAGAACAGGAATCAAGAAATAAATGCTGTAGACTGGGCACGGTGGCTCACGCCTGTAATCCTAGCACTTTGGGAGGCCGAGGCGGGCGGATCACAAGGTCAGGAGATCAAGACCATCCTGGCTAATACAGTGAAACCGTGTCTCTACTAAAAAAATACAAAAAAATTAGCCAGGTGTGGTGGTGGGCACCTGTAGTCCCAGTTACTTGGGAGGCTGAGGCAGGAGAATAGCGTGAACCCGGGAGGCAGAGCTGGCAGTGAGCTGAGCTGGTGCTACCGCACTCCAGGCTGGGCGAGAGTGGGAGACTCCATCTGAAAAAAAAAAAAAAGAAATGCTATAAACAAATATTGTAATTATTATTTCTGAGATAATTGCAGTCAAGGAAAACAACTATACAATACAGAATATATCCAAGTACTCTATCCTAAACACACTAAACAATAGTGTTGAAAACCTAATATGGTGAAATAAGATTAAATATAGGCAACATCACTGTCTTTAACCTTAACGGAATTCTCAATTTGTGAAAATCACTTACTGTTTGATTTATTTTCATGTTTAGTTATGCTATTCATATGAAGTAGAGAAAAAGCTTTATCTTGAAAATATTTATCATAACATTTGCAACAGAGAAAAATCCAGAAACAACTGGAATGTCCAGCCATTTTAAAAGATGTTCATAGAGACAGAGACATGCTCTTAGAAAACTATGTTTAATGAAAAGGCAGGTTCCTTATAAAAAATTTTATGAAGACAAGAAATAGAAATCAGTGTGTTGATGTTTATATTAGTATTTATTCTGTTGAGGTGCATTCTGTTTTTTCTTCTTTCCACTTGGGAAGTGGAAAATTAATTTTTATTAATTTTTTAAAATTAACTTTAAAAATGAATTATATTGATCAATTTATAATTAGTTGATTATAGATATTAATTTTTTTAATTACAGGAAAGCCGATAGATAGTAAGTTAGCTTTCTTGCTAAGTCTGAAGTGGTAGCTTCAGGACAATAGCAAACTGAAGCAGATTCTTTAAGGAATTTCCCATCTAAATCTAATGTTCATATCTTTCCTGCTTGGTTATACTGGTGCATATATCATGAGGTTCTGGTAAAGCTAATGTCATGAAAAAGAAAAAGTTTATCATAAGCTTTTTGTCTTGAAGAAATCAATTCAACTCATAAATTCACTGATGTGTAAAAGACAGACTTGAAGTTACCCACCAAAATACATTGGCCAGTATTAAAATAATCACATTTATTTTTTTCAAAATTTTGTTTTATGAGTTTTGCTAACACCAAAAACAATGACATACTTCCTCCACAGACTGAGAAAACTGTTACAGCAGAATATGAACTAGAATACTTACTCCTCGAAGGACATTGCTTTGATAAAGTGACAGAACAGCCTCCTCGGGGTCTGCAGTTCACACTAGGCACAAAAAATAAACCAGTTGTGGTTGATACAATAGTGATGGCCAATCATGTAAGTATTATTTAATTGATGATATTTAATTTGATGTTTTGGTGAAATTCTCTGTTTTCCTAAGAGTAAAATGAAATAATATTTATTCTGCTGTTGCTGAACAGTTTGCAGAAAACAAAATTAAATCTTTGAATAAGAAACAAAAATGGGGAAAATCATACTTTCGTAATATTCTTTTAACAGGTTATTGTAAAATCTCTTTACTTGGAATTGATTTATAGAATTTATTCATTCTACAGTTAGTAAATACTTTCTTGGATCATTCGTGTATTCATGAACAATTAGATGGTTTTTAGTCGTATTACTCAATGATTATTTTTTTCTCATCTTAAAAGGGGTATTTTCAATTAAAAGCAAACCCAGGTGCTTGGATACTGAGGTTACACCAAGGAAAATCTGAAGATATTTATCAAATAATTGGGTGAGTTATGCGGACTGCTTTTAAATTTTTACACATAAATATGTTTTTAGTGTAATACAACCAAGATCATCAAAACAACAATTAAAATGTTAAGATTGGCCTGGCGCAGTGGCTCAAGTCTATAATCCGAACACTTTGGTAGGCCGAGGCAGGCAGATCACTGGAGGCCAGGAGTTGACCTGCCTGACCAACATGGCAAAACCCTGTCTCTACTAAAAATACAAAAATTTGCGAGGCATGGTGGCATACACCTGTAACTTCAGCTATTTGGGAGACTGAGGCCCAAGAATTGCTTGAACCTGGGAGGCGGAGGTTACAGTGAGCGGAGACCGCACCACTGCACTCCAGCCTGGGACAGAGAGCAAGACTCTGTCTCAACAACAACAACAAAAAAGACATTCCGGTGCTCATACCCATGCAGAAACATCAATTTGAACAACTATGCACTCCACACATGAAACTACCTTAATAAAAACTAAGGAACGAGGTGAGCTATTACAACAGTGCAGTGTAGCACAGAAATAAGAAAGACACATTGAAGAGTGTAGAAAGGATAATTTTACATTACATACATCACTCCTTTCTCAACCTGATTCAGCACAACTGGAAGGAGAGGGAAGTGAGCACCAGACTTTGTCTTGGACCCCAAAACCATGCTCACCCCAATAAAACCCAAAGCCAGGTAGGCCCCATAGCCCCAACTTAATGCTGGTACCAGAAGATTCAGCTGCCAGATCCTGTAGCCCCAAGCTCCAAATCTGCCTGGTAGGTTCAGTTTCCAAGCCTGCCCAACCACGAGGCCTACCCCAGAAGCCCTAAGCTGTTGCCCAGCCCCAATGCCAGGCCAGCACCCACAAATTCAGGCTCTTAGACTTTTCCCTCTGCCAGCATAATTGATATATTGATCATTTAATGACAATATAGTATACGTTATATCTTATGTAACAACACCATTATCCCTGGGTCATATTCAATTTGGAATTGGTTTTTTGCACAAAAATTTTCCTGTTCATCAGTAGAAAGCAGGGATCATCACACTTTTTTGGTAAGGAGCCAAAGTAAGTAATGTTCATTTGAGAGTACGTATGGTCTTTGTCAAAATTGTTTTTTTAACAATCATTTTAAAGTGTAAAGATCATTTTTAGCTTAGGGCTATTAAAAAAATAGACCATAAACCTGATTTGGTTTACTGGCCATAGTTTGCCAACTCTTGATAAAGTCTTTTTTATACCCTTAATAAATATCTCTAGATTTCATTGCTTTCAATAAATACTTATTGAGCATCTTTTATTATACCACACATTGTGCTCAACAAAGATAATATAGGAGGGGTTACTGTATCTTTTTTTCACCACTCTTTCCCTTTTATGCTGTGCCTAGCTTATAGTGTCAGTTAATAAATGTGCTTAATGGCTTATGCACACAGAGCCAGGGATGCTTAGTTCTATGGTAGTGGTGGGTCGGAGGAAGTCAGTATTGACATTAGCGATGATAGAGATGATCTAGAGTACCTCAAGAGAGTTTTGAAGAATTAATAGGAAGTTACTAGTCATACCACAGATGGAACCTTCCAGGTGGTGGGTAGACATGCACATCTCTCATCTAAAACTCTTAGGGCCATATGTGTTTTAGAAGTTTTTAGTTTGGAAAGTTAATACAGTACACATGTCATATATTATGACATATATCCCAGCAGGATCTGAGAAAGCCCTTTATTAAGCATAATTTTTATTGCAGAATGTGTTAATATTCATACTAAAAGGGTTTATGTAAATGACCGAAAAAGAGAATGAAAAGACAATCCACAGACTGGGAGAAAATCTTTGCAAAGCATATGTCTGACAAAGAACTTATATACAGAATATATAAAGACTATCAGAACTCACTATGAGAACAAATAACCAGACAAAAAATGTGCAAAAGGCTTGAACAGACACTCTACCAAAGAATATATATGGATAAGTACAGAATATATTTAACATTGTTAGTTATTAAGAAAATCTACATTAAAACCACAAGATATGCCATTAAAATGACTAACTTTATAAAAAGAATGATGATATCAAGTGTTGGTGAGGCTTTGGAGTAACAGGAGCTGTTTTTCACTTCCATTGTGTATGTAGAATGGTACAACCACTTTTGAACAATTTGACAGTTCCTAGAAACTTTAAATTTACACTTAGGCTAGGCATGGTAGTTCACACTTGTAATCCTAGCACTTTGGGAGGCCAAGGTGGGAAGACTGCTCGAGCCCAGGAGTTTGAGACCAATCTGGGCAACATAGCAAAACCTACCTCTACATAAAATAAAAAAAGTAGTCAGGCACAGTAGCACACGCTTGTAGTCCTAGTTACTTGGAAGGCTGAGATGGGAGGATCAGTTGAGCCCACGAGGCGACAACTGCAGTGAGCCATGATCATGCCACTGCACTCCAGACTGGGCAACAGAGTGAGACCCTGTCTCAAGAAGAAGGAGTAGGAGAAGGAAGGGGATGGAGAGAAAGGGGAGAGGAGGGGAGAAGAAGAATTTGCTTTCTGTGGTTTCTCTCGCCCATGGTTAACCATAGTCCGAAAATATTAAGTGGCAAATTCCAGAATAAACAAATCCTACATTTTAAATTATGCACTGCTGAGTAGTGTGATGAACTCTCACACCATACTGCTCTGTTCCACCTGGAAAATCATTCCTTTGTCAGGTGTCTGCCCATGAGTCACTTAGTAGCATTCTCAGTTATGAGATCAACTGTCATGGGATCACAGTGCTTGTATTCAGGTAACCCTTGTTTTACTTAATGACCACAAAGGGCAAGAGTATTTTGGCTAATTTATAAATTAAACGTTATAGACATATGTGTATAGGAAAAACATACATTTAGGGTTTGCTACTATCCATGGTTTCATACATCCCCTGGGTGTCTTCGAATCTATCCCCTGTGAATAAATGGGGGTTACTGTACTACTGCATGTCGCCTTTTATAAGTTATAAAACACTAGATAATACAAACTATAGTGACAGAAATCACTTGGTGAGGTGGAATAAGCAGGCAAAAATAAGGGGGAGTATTGGAGACAGCACTTGAACAATGCTGTTTGGAGAACCCCCAGCCAAATTGAGTTCCAGTACTGGAGTGGCTGGTGACCTTGCCCTAATGAGGAATGAAAGGCAGCTGGATGTGAATGTTTACTGTGTGGCTTTCATGGGACACTTCGCTTACCTGGTGGATGGTCTAATTCATAGTTGTCTGACCCCAGACCCAGGCTCCCTCACACAGGAAACTTGTTTGTACTGACAGATGCCTGTGTGGCTCTTGTCTGACCCATGTCCAGTTTATGCTTGCCTGACCATCATGGTGACACTCAGAACCCAACCTTGTGTTTTTCCCAGCATCTCCAAGAAAACCCGGTCCGGGATAGTCCCTGGCTCTTCCGATGGGTGGTGCAAACTTAATACACCACCACAATAAGAAATAAGTTCAAAGATTTATTACTTACAAATCTTGGGCAAGAATGGCTCCATTTCTAGGTCACATGAGGCAAGAATGAAGAGGAGTCAGGCAGAGAGAAAGAGCATGCACACAACTAACAGTATATATAAGGAGATAGAGCATGGGTCACTTTTGGTCTGTTTGAAGGGAAGGCAGGACAACAGAAGCCCAGTTTGCGAGGCAGGAAGGGTGCCTCTAAGTTCTTATCTTTGGCTACCAGCTAGACCCATTTGGGTATGATATTCTAATGCCTAGGCAGCAACCCATGCTACCTTGCTGTGTCATTCCCATTACAGATACACAGTTCCTACCCTCCCAAAACTCATTCCAGTAGAAAAGATAGTCAAGAAAATGAGTGACTATTATATGTTCTAAGTTTTATGAAAGACTGCTATGATAGTATAGAAAATGAGCAAAATAGACTGTAACATTTATATTGACCCTTATAAAAGCCATGGTTTCAAGATATAATTTTAAGAAGCATTCATGCTTTGTTTCAGCTTTTTAAATTTTGTGCAAACTACATTGCCAGGAACTCAGTATTTCTATATCTGCCACTACTGTTTCACCATTATGTTTTGCAAAGGGAGAAACCCTTTATTTGAATTGTAAGTCAAATCCCTTCTGTACCACCAACTATCTGTATGATCTTGTATAAGTTTCTTTGCTATTTGTAGTCTTTATTTCCTCGTTACAAAAGGGAATAATCCTACCTCCCTTGTGGGGTTTTGCTAAGGACTAAATGAGAAAATCATCATAGAATATTGAGTAAATGTCCATTTCCTCTCCACTTATTCCTTCTTTACAAATGCAGTTATACAATAGCACATGTATTATGTAAAACTAAAACTATACATGATTTAGTTTCTATTTTATCTTCTTTACTATTATTGTCTATCATACACAGTTCATAAAGATGTTTTAGAGAGAAAATAGTTCTTGATGTTATATTTGAAGTACCACTAACATATTAGTGAAAATTGTTTTTTCTCATTCACAGACAACTTTTGGCAGTAGAAATAACTAACAAATTTGTTTGTATTATAAACAATAAAACCATATACTTAGTCATAATTTAATTCTACATATGATTAATGTTACTAGCTATCCAAAATAGAAAAAAAATACATGTTACTGTATAATAAAAAGTCTAACAAGGTCAATATAAAATATGACAAAAACTGATGTTGTTTATCCTAAGGTTTATGTTTTAATTCTAATTGGTATTAACTTTATAATTAGGAAAAATATTCCTGAAACCTGCTAAAAATCTAAGCTAAAATAATATTAATATGAGTTTCTAAGTTCAGATTTTAAAGCTATGACTAAATTATTTGATATTTTTAAATTTGGCTTTCCACTTCTGAGGCATAATGCCCACAGTGTGTTCTTTCTGTGTCTGTCAATCTTTTTATAGTCTTTAACTGCAGATTATTTGTGTATACTCAGTATTGGCTGTTACTTACCTTGAATACAAAAAGTCTCAAAATTATTCTCCTTTATTTCTTTGTAGTTCTACCAAAATTAGACAAATGCTGCTCAGATTTTTCTAATTGTAGACAATACTTTATGCACCTTCAATGCCAAATTACTGTGCTAGACTTCTCACTTGAAATCTTTAGAAAGATCTTTTCTGCCAAAGTAATACTTGTAATTAATTTTAGTTTGGTACCTTTGAGACTGAACTGTTTCTCCTATGTTTTTTACAGGAGGAAGGAGAGAGATGTTAAACAAGGTTTTCCGTTCTTTCTCCGCAGGTACTTGAGTTGGTCCGCCGTAACTTTGCTGGTTCTGTAGTAGTTAAAACTCACTCTCTGTGTACTCTTAAAAGTTCTCTATTGCTGTACTTCACTCTCTAGTTTCCTGGTTCTGTTGGTGTGGTCTCCTCGTACCTCCTGGTTGCCATATTGGCAGGACACATGACTACCCAGTCGTAACAACAAACCAAATCGCTCTCCTTCTTGGCTGCATCTGATCTGTAGAAATACTTACACATCAGTTGCCCAACAAACTCTAGTTCAGACCAGTTGCAGAGGCAATAAGCACTCTCCCGACTTTTCAATTAAAGCAATTAATCAGTCCTCAAATATCCAATCCTGCTCCATGGTACACTTTTAACTTTCCCACACACGAGTCCTCTCTGCATCCCAGCTTCAGAATATGTATTGCAAAGTGTTTTCTCCTTAAAGTGTCTACCTTACTGAGTTTAGAATGAGAAGGCAATACTCCTCCCCTTCCATCCTCACAGGGTATAGTGGTGGAGACTCACAATCTGGCAACAGCTCTCTGTAAGGAAACTCTTCTGCCTTCATCTCACACAATCCCTTTTCTGAACATTTTTATATGCTTAATCTCTCTGAGGAGCAAACTGCATATTGTGAGGGTATTGAGAATGGATGACTATGCATACTCACTTCGGTGTCTGGTAGCTATCTCATTGGTATTTCAGTGGAAGCATTCTAGCATCCTTTTACCCTTACCCCCAATATTCTATTTAGTTCTTTGCTATCATATTACCATTAGTTAAATGTAAATTTTAATGAATTCACTATTGATCACAGTTTATATATGTCTATTAATTTTCACATTCATTTTATGTTTAGATGGTGTCTTAAGCCATTTTTTGCTGCTGTAATAGAATACCTGTGACTGGGCAATTTATAATGAACAGAAATTTATTGGTTCATAGTTCTGGAAGGTTGGAAAGATTGAGGGACAGCATCTGGCAGAAGCCTTCTTGCTGCATTGCCCTATGGCAGAAGGCAGAAGTACAAGAGAGAGCAAGAGAGGGCCAAACTTGGCCTTTTGTGATAGCACCACTTCCACCCAATGAAGGTGGAGCCTCATCACCTATAATTGCCTGTTAAGGATCCCACCTCTTAATACTGTCACAGTGGCAATACAGTTTCAACATGAGTTTTGGAGGGGAGGGACATTCAAATCGTAGCAGATGGCTGACTTCACATATTATCACAGAAGTATTTAACGCAAGCAATTGGATGCTTTTACATTGTGTTAGAAAGGATTGGTGGAGCAAGCTCTCCAGGAGGGCTGGATCCTAGGAATGCTTGAGAACAAAGCCAAGGAACTGACCAACCAGAAAGAGCTGCTACTTTCCCATCATCAGAAGTGAGAGAAAGTTAGAAGCTGCTGCCAGCAACACATCAACTGGCCTTTGGTACCCAGAAAACTAAGCAATTACACACTGGAACACTGATGTAGAAAACCTCAATGTCTCCATGACTATGCTTGACAAAAGAAGCTAGGCAAGCGTCAGCACATTGCCCCACTCACTTCTAAGTTCCAAATAATATGCAAATGTATCTATCTGTTTAGCAGAATCTAATTATCAACCAAAACCTTAGCTGCAAAAGAATTGAGTAACAACAACAAACAAAAATGGGTGTAGCTTTCTAACTCGTGCAGTGTAGAAGATGAGATGTTGCCTGCCATATCATAATATACAACACCTTTCCACAAATAAGTTTTTTCAGAGACATTAGTGGTGTACCCTCAAATGTTTAAAACTTTGAGGTGGTCCTCAAAGGTTTAAAAATTTCTTTTGCAGTTCCATATGAATTATAACTTTCCTAAGTATTGAATAACAGCATTATAATTTTATTCAGAATGCTTGAAACAAGGCTTCATCATTGTTTATTACCAGTTAGTGTTTTGGATGAAAAATATGAGGCCAATCTGATTTACATTTCTTCTCTGAAAATATAAATGATTTTTTAGAATTTCAGGAGGCATATGTATGAGTGCTCTTTTTTATTAATCATGCTTTCTGACACATAGTGAATTCTTTCATTTTGAAGTAAATGGATTTTACTGAGATTCAGTATTCTCTTGAATCTCATTGAGAATATGAATTATTTGAATGCTTCCCTTTTTTCTGCATTAATGCCTTATCAATGAAGTCCATTTCCTCTGACTGCTTAGCTTGTTGCCTTCATTTACGCTGCTCATTTTCCTCATGTATCCAGAGGTTTCAGGTGCTTGGCATTGTAGGTAAAGGTCTGATAGTACAGTGGTGAAGGGCTAGACCATCTAGACTAATTTGGATCTAGGATAATAATTGTACTTTCCTCAAAGGATGGTTGTGTGGATTAAGCGAGTGAGCATCTATGAAGTGCTTAAAACAGTGCCTGAAATAAAATGAGAGCTCATCACCATTACTACCTCTGCTACCTGATGGAAATGGAAAAAGATCTGCTTTAGAATTTGTCTAGGTCTAGCTGTAGTGCTATGCTAGCTGGCTTTATACTCTGGGTCTCAGTGGACAGGGGATTAAATGTCTAAAGTTGCCACTGCCCTTGAGCAGTGTTTGTGACTATAAGCAGCTGAAAGTTTTTAAGAAATTTGACAATATTTCTACAATACAAATGAGATCCTTTTTTTTTTTTTCTTTTGCAGCAGGGTCTCTCTTGCCCAGACGGAAGTGCAATAGCACAATCACGGCTCACAGTTCAATGGAGCCTCAATCTGCCAATCTCAAGCAATCGTCCTACTTTAGCCTCCTAACTAGCTGGCCACCACAGGCACTGGCCACCACACTCAGTGGCCACCACACAGCTAATTTTAAAAAAAAATTTGCAGAAACGAGGTCTCACTGTGTTGCCCAGGCTGGTCTCAAACTCCTGGACTCAAGCGATTCTCCCACCCCAGCCTCCCAAAGTGCTGGGATTACAGGCGTAAGCCATCACACCTAGCTTCTTCCTGTTTTCTAGTAGTGATTGTTGGACAGAGTTCTGCCTGCTACTTTGGTTTAACCACCTGAACTCAGGAATTGGGAGTAAGAGAAAGTCAAAGACATGTCAGTCATGATAGTGCTAGACTCCCCAGGTGTTCATTTTGGAAAAATATTAAAAGTATATATTATATATAACAACTCAAAAGTAGCTACTGATTTGACATCTGATTACTTCCCCTTCAACAAAATTCAACTTTACTGTAAATATGATAGAATTTTTTAGTCCATAGTGAGAATGGTTTGAAAAAATAATTTTGGAGCACAATTGCCGTATTTGTTTAAGCAATTTTGAAAAAGGGAGAAAAAACTGCATTATATGTAATACAAAATGGAAACATTCAAGTGATGCAGATGGACATCACAGACACATTTTCAGTCTCATTGGTTTCACAATGCTTTTCAAATTTTGGCATTTGAAAATGACTGGTGGATATTAAAAAGTTAGTGTAGAACTCCGTTGATATATAAACAACTTTGAAGTGTAAAAAATTGTAACTATCATTGCAATATATCAGGGATATGAAAGATTTTAGTTTTGTGATAGTCTTGGTATATAACAGCAAAGATAAGCCGTAATTTGAACGTTCAGAGTGATTGGGTAGTGTTGAATTTAATGAGTTACTTTTGTACAATTTTAATGTATACTAAGTTAAAATTTATTGGATAATTTTGAAAACTACAGCATATTATAGTATATCTTAATTGACTGTAGAAACAGAAGAACATGATATATGCACTAGTGATTTTGGACTTATGTTTATTGCAAAATGAGTTTATTCTGTTATTTCTGCCATCATAATTGTATGTCTGTTCTTTAATTATGGACACATTTTTCTACTTTCAGGCATGAAGGAACTGACTCTCAAGCAGACCTAGAAGATATCATTGTTGTATTAAACAGCTTCAAAAGCAAGATACTGGAAGTAAAAGTATGTGGGGCAGAGGTTTTTATAGGCTTTGTTCTTAATATTAAGAATTATCTTCTTTGTTTTTTAATTAATTGATTTATTTTACAACTAACTTTACAATTTTACAACCTAAAATGTTATATTTGAACTCCAGCAGTAAAAAAAAGAAGAGGATTTAGTTCACAAAGGAAAACAGAACTTGAAGATAGAAAAGAAGGATTTTTTTTTACATTATGATAACTGTGAATATATCTACTAAATCTATCTGTAGCCAAATAATGTTACAAATTGGACTCTAGAGATGAGATCAGGAACATGCACTGAAAAATTAGTTCTAAAAAGAGAAGGTGATGTTTTTTAAACAGGGAGAGAAAGGGAGTTTTTAATGATAGCAGATTTTTTTTGGACCAACCCTCCTGCTTAAAACTAGTGAAAATATTAGATACAAGTTTTTAAAAATCTTAAAAACAATGAGGAACTGATAATCAGATAATAAGGATAATAAGGAAACACAAAACCAAAATTAAAGGGAAAATAAGAGTCTAGTGAAATAAGCAAGCACAGAAACTTCTCTTGACCCAAGGAAGCTACTGTTGTCCTGGGAACATTTTTCTGTCCTGTCACACTTTAAACTACCATTTTTATTTATTTTGATGGGTTAGGGAACAAAAATTAAAACCTAGAAACTCAAATAAAATAATCTATTAGAAGACCCTCTCTACAATAAACTAGCTCTATTTTCAGGCTAAGGATGAAACATAAAAAATTATTCCTCAGATTCTTTTCACCCAAATTTGTGTCAGCTAAGTAGGCCAGGGAATCCTGAACCTTGAATTGGTACTAAAATCTTTCCAGATTGATAGGATATAGAGATATCTAGAAGAGACATCCATAAATCTCTGGAATAAGATTACAATAGCCTAAGCTGCAAATCAAATTTTTCTGGTATAAAGGCCAACTCATAGTCAAAGTTAACCAACCAACAAAACCAGCAGAAACAGAAAACCGATACACAAAGACTCAAGATATTAGAATTATTAGAATAACCTCTGAAACAGCTGTACTTTTTTTAAAGAAATTAAAGATGAGTTTGAAAATAATTGCAGGGAACATGAAACTATAAAACATGTATATCAGATTTTTTTAAAGTAGAACTTTGGACCTGAGTAATACAATACCAAAATTAATAATTCAGTAGATAGCTTTAACATGCCTTAAGAGAAAATTAGCAAGTTGGGAGATAGGCCAGAAAAAGTATACCGAATGCAACAGAGACAGGAAAAAAAGAAAATATAGCAGAGAGCATTCACACACACACACACGCACACACGCGCTAGTGTGAAAGTCTAAGATTACCAGTAGTGGATTTAAAACTGGCTCTGCCACTCACTAGCTATATGACCTTGGACGGATTACTTAATCTCTTTCTGTCTCATTTCCTCATCTGTAAAATAGGGTTGACAATAGAATATACCTTACAGAACTGTTATGAAGATAAGATAAAGCACTTTATGAGTATTTGTTGGATAAATAAAATTAACCTAAATGGAATTTCAAAGATAATTAAAGAATGGAGTACAAGTAACATTTGAAGCAATAATGACTAAGAATTTTTATGAATTGATGAAAGATACCAATTACAAATATTCTACAACCTACCCATACCTAGGTCTTTTAGTAGTTTGTTTTTGTTTTTGTTTTGAGACAGAGTCTCGCTCTGTTGCTCACCCTGGAGTGCAGTGGCCCAATATTGGCTTACTGCAGCCTCCATCTCCAAGATCAAGTGATCCTCCTGCCTCAGCCTCCTGAGTAACTGGGACCACAGGCATGTGCTACCACACCTGGCTAATTTTTGTGTTTGCGTGTATTTTTTGTATTTTTAGTAGAGGTGGAGTTTCACTATGTTGGCCAGGCTGGTCTTAAACTCTTGACCTCGAGTGATCCACCCACCTCGGCCTCCCAGAGTGCTGGGATTACAGGCATGAGCTACCACGCCCAACCACCTTCAGTTTGTTTTCTAATAACACAGTTTTATCACCTAACCATCTGTTTCTCAGAATTACAGTAAAAAGATAGAAAAACAGGAGAAAAGATAAGCAACATAGAGGATCAGCCCATGAAATCCAATAGCCTACTAAGAGGAATTCCAGAAACAACAGAGAAGATGGAGGAGGGAAAGTGTCCTAAAGCTGAGAGAGAAAAATGTTCATGTCAAAAGAGTCCACAAATTATGAAGTAGGATGAATGAAAATGGCCCATATAAGATTATAATAGCTACTAAGAAGGAAAAGTGCGTAACTGCAACAGAATGACACTTAACACTAGTATCAAAATTTCATTTTCAAAATACTTAGCTGTTAAAAGACAGCAAAAGCTTTCAGTGTTTTGAGGAAAATTATTTCGAACCCAAGATTGTGTATCTAGCCAAATTCTTAATCAAATGTGAAGGTAAAAAGTTTCTGAAGTATGAAGATTTAGAAAAATTATTTTTCATACCCCTTCTTGGAGACATTTGGCAGTACAATGAAGATGAAAATCAAGATCAAGAAAGAAGATCAGTAGTTCAAGAAATGGTGAAACTAATCTGTAAACCAATGTAAAGAAAATCTAGAAAGAAACAGTTAATTGTTGAACTTTAAGAAAAATGTCTTCAGGTAGACAAGAATTCCAGACAATTAGATAACATGACTAATAAACTGGAAAAGATTATGTCTGTGATAAAGAAGACATATTTGTATATCTCCCCACATGAAAAAATAAGGACCATGAAATTCCAGGAAAAAATAGTTCTCTGCTGGTGGAATGTAAGAAAGGAAAATTAATCTGAACCAGCAAGAGTCTCCTGGGAGTGGCACGGTGACCATAGGAGGAAACTATAACTATGCTGTACTATACTAAAACTATAACTACACAGAGGAAATAGAGTTTTAGTAGATTTTCCGACTCTTCAATGGTTAATTTTTACACTGTCATAATGAACACTTTTTACTGATTTTCAAGTTTTAGAATCACCATAGCAAAATGCAACAGACACAATTATGTTTACTGAACTAAATGTAAATGTTATCAGTATTTACAAATGCTAAAGTCAAGGTTTAACTAATATAAGTTGGGAGGTAGAAGGAAATCATAGAAATAGTAGTGTCCTTATAAACAGATTATACTCGAGAAACTGTTGGGATTGTGGGAATAAAAAAAGAGATTTAGATACTATTTAAAGTGACAAAAAATAGTAGAAGAACTGAAGATAAACATATTACTACCAAAATTTCCAGACAAATAGGGAAAGGGAAGGATGACAATAAGTGAGCTATTCATCTGTCATCACAAAGAGTAAATAATGTCTAAACTCTAAATTCAGAAATACTAGTAGATAATGCCTAAAGCTGATAAATTAGTAAACACAAGTGCAAGCACATTATTTAGCAATATGGAAGTAACCACCAAAGAAACTGAACAAAGAGGTTGAATTGATAGTTGAAGACCAGATTGTTTACAACGTTGTGCTAAGATATTGCCTGTCTTTGGTTACTGCAGCTGTCAATCTTAGATTTCTATGGGTAATCTCGCCCAGTATGTTTCACTTTCTAACCATACAGCACGATATTAAAGCAGCCAAATTCTAATCTTTTTTGCCTTGCTATCTAGGTGAAAAAAGAAACAGGCAAAATTAAGGAAGATATCCTTACCAATGAAGATGAAAAAACAAAAGGAATGTGGGATTCCATTAAAAGGTAATTACTAATGAATATTTTAACACATAGCTAGATTGATCCAGAAGTCTAGTATGTGGAAGTTCCACAGGCAGTGAAAATTTAAGTAAAGCAAAGGTCCTCTAATCTAGGAGGGATAAGATAAATACATAAATGTTACTACTATGTACAAGATAGGAAACTAGAGCTGTAAGACAGATGAAAATAAAATACTGGACAAACCAATGGAGAAAAATTATACATCCACTTACAAGGAACCTCAGGAAATACTCCTTGACGAAGTGTGTGGCAAAGATCTGTTTTAAAGGACAAGACAGGATTTCAAAAGTTAAAGATTGAGTGAAGGCGGTTACATGAAGGCAAAAAGATTGGATATGTTCCTCAAAGAAAAGAAAGTAGCCTAGCTAGCTGCAACTTGAAAATAATAGGGACTGTTTATATTAGATTGATACCTATACTGTTTTATTGTTAGTTTAAAAAGGAACACAGGCCAGGCGTTGTGACTCACACCTATAATCCTAACACTTTGAGAGGTGATGACAGGAGGATTGCTTGAGCCCAGGAGTTCAAGGCTAGCCTGGGCAACATAGTGAGACCCTGTATCTACAAAAAGTTTAAAAATTATCTAGTCACAGTGGCATGTATCTGTAGTTCCAGTTACTCAGAAGGCTGAGGTGGGAGGATTGCTTGAGTCTGGGAGGTCAAAGCTGCAGTAAGTCAAGATTGCAACACTGCACTCCAGCCTGGGTGACAGAGTGAGACCCTGTCTCGAAAAACAAACCTACATAAGGAATATATTGACTCAGATATCTAAAGAATCCAGGAGTATACCTGGCATTGGCCATTGGGTGATGTGGTATGGATACAGTCTTTCTCCATCTCTTAGGTCTACTCTTTCTGTGTGTCCTTCATTTTAAGATAGACTTTTAAAATTAAAAGTTTACTATTTCCAGTGGAAGGAAAATCCCTCTTTCCAAACAGTTCCAGTAAAAGTTCCAAGGCTGATTCATGGGTCCAGCTATAGCTATGTGTCCCAAACTGAACTGATTTCTGTGACTCTGATAACCAAGCGTGAGTCATACGCCTACTTCAAGAACTGGTGGGAAGGCCTGTCCCGCCTAAACCTCATAGGATGAGATGGGAGGAGGAATGATTCCCCCCGAAATACCAGGTTGTTACTAGAAGGGGAACAGGTGTTAGGTGAGCAAAAACAAAAGCTGTCTCCTGTAGATGCACGTTGTAAAGAACTTTGAATGTCCATTTTAGAGATTTGAACCCTATGTGAGCTATGATGGCAAACCATTAATCATTTTGATCAAAGATAAGAAATAGAAATGTTAGCCAAAATAGGTTCATCAACTTAAACATATTTGGTTATACTAGTCAAAAACACTTCCATCATTTTGGATTTTGCCCAGTTTAAGCCTCTTTTTCTATAGTTGACTCCTTGTTTGGTAAGAAAAATCATGTTACTGTCACAGTGTGTGCTTTGAACAAGTTACTGATAAAGGATCGAGGCCACTCATTGAGATGATTTAGAGGGTAGGTATGTTTGACAGGGGATAATGGAATAGAATCTGAACAATTTTAAGAGTATCCATCTAAGAGCTTCCATTAAAATTAGAAGGTAGAGATAAGAATGATTGAAGATAACTGTTTAATTATGGTATAGCCACTTGCTATATAAAAAGGATACCAAAAACAAAATATAGCCGCTTGCTATATAAAAGGGATACGAAAAACAAAATGCTTTGTTAGAAACAGAGATGGTAAGTTTTTGGGACGTTAACTGCTCTAGATACATAGTATTGTGTGTCTTATGATGCTTTGACTTTTTTCATCTTAATTTTAGTTCTAACTTAGAATGATTATTTTTTCTTGCCACTGAATCAACTTCTTTTCTTATTTGGGAGATTACAAGATTTGAAAAATGCTTCTGTCTATAACAATCTTATATTTTGCAAAATACCTTTAATGATGACTGTAAGTTTACCAAATTTTATTCATTCTAAATATCTGTTTATATAAAAATACTTTAAAATGTTTAGGAAGAAAAAGATGAATTTGTACTTTATGAATACTGTAAATAAAAGATTCAGTCATTTTTGTATATGAAATGGGCCTATACAAAAATGAAATGGAGGTGGTCTAACTCCAAAAATGTAATGAAAATGACAACTGGGCCCACATGACGCTACCATGATATAAACCAGGGAGTAGACATGGCTCCCTAGTGCTTTCTTTGTCATGGAAATCATCCACAGTACCAAGAGGGTATTCCATACCCTGCGTGGAGGAGAAAATCTGCTTGGTCAGAGGAGCTCCAAATTGTAGATGGTGGTTTAAAAATATTTTAGCGTTGGTGAGCCCCATCAGCAGCACTCAAGACACCTACCCTGTTACCACGTACATTCTTGCTGTGCTATAGTTCCACACTTCCGCATTCTGTTCCTTCCCTCATTATTGGCCTGTTTAAAGTTTCAGTACACTAGATATGGCCATGTCAAGCTGTAATTCATTCTTTGTTCTGAAAACAACCTTTGACAACTCACAGATACTAAAAAATAACAGCCCATTCACCTAGAGACAATATAATTATATTCCATATTGCAAATTAAAAAAAAACTCATAAAGCTTCAAATGATATTGTCAAATATTTTAATATTAGTTTGTAAATATTATAGTGTTTATAGCTTAACTATTTTGAAATACAGTTCTATATTTAGTGCTTGTATTTAGTATTTAGGCATACAATGTTTCCATATGTATGTTTAAGAAATGTCAATTACTTTTTTATTCCAAGTTTCACAATAAGGTTGCATAAAGAAGAAGAAAAGGAAAAAGATGTCCTAAACATTTTTTCAGTTGCTTCTGGTCATTTATATGAACGTTTTTTAAGGTAGGTATATTTTTTAACTTTATATTTTGAAGAAGAAATATTTACATGGTTCAAATTTCAAAAAAAGTAAAGGAATATACACTGGGGGAAAAAAAAATTCCCGCCTCTGTTGCCTTGATACGCAGTTCCTTTTCTCACAGGAAACCCATAGTATTATTTTTACATCCTGCTAAAGAGATACACACACACACGCGTAAATATATATATGTGTGTATATTTATTTATTTATTTATTTCAGTTTTTTAAGTCCTTTTACCCAAATAGTAACAAAGAACATACTACTTTACACCTTGCTTTTTTTTTTTTACTTAAAATTATGAAGTATATTTAAATATGAAATTTCATGAGTTTTGGCTTGATTTGAAATATTGGTTTTCTTCAAGGCTAGCAAATAGACATTTTGGATAGGTAAGAATATATATATATACACACACACAATATATATATATTTACTTTATATATACAGTACTTACTATATACAGTATTTACTATATATACATATATATATAATTTACTATAGTAAATTATCAGTTTCCAGTGAAGAAAACCTTCTTTTACAAAAAGGAAGGGAATGAGGGGAGAAATGCATATTGCAAAGTACAAAAGGCTATTTTTAAACAGTTAATATAGAAAGGTCACAGAGAATAACTCAAAAATATTTGAATTGTAGCACTGATACATTAAAATGGAACTTTAGATTCATTTGTATCCTTTCCATTCAGAGGTTTAGGTTAGCAAACCACATGACCCATCCAGTGAATTCGTCAATATAGATAGGTCATTCAGCTCCTCAGGGCTTGCAGACTTATTATTAATCACACAGTCATAGACAACTGGGCCCAAATGAAGCTACCATGATGTATATGTATTCATCCTTACACATTACACACTTGATAAACCATATTTTAGTTTGTTTCTTCACATTTCATTGTGAAAACCTTCTAATTCATACCTTCAATTATTTAAAAGCCTTTAAAAAGACCTATGTAACAAACCTGTATGTTCTGCACATGTATCCCAGAACTTAGTGAAATTTTAAAAATTAAAATTAAATTTTAAAAAACACTTCAAGGTTAAAAAAAAATGAACTCCTGTTACTGTTAACGTATATTGGGTTTAATATTCTTTTATACAGAATTATGATGCTTTCTGTTTTGCGTAACACCAAAACACCAGTGAAATTCTGGTTGCTAAAAAATTATCTCTCACCGACATTTAAAGTAAGTACATAGCTTTTTTTGTAGAATGGTTAATGTTTGAATAGTAAATTATTTGTATCATTGTAAGTTTATATGATATTTCTCTTTTCAGAATGAGCTTTTTGAAATGTATATTTTAAAGACTTTTTAATAAATTTTAAAATAATATTTAGTATTTTCATGTAGCTTAAGAAAAATTCTGTGCATTTTTTATTTAGAGATGTTCAAAGGAGAGGACAGTAGAAGACTATATTTTTAAGTAAAATCAAAATCAGAATGACTAGTAGTTTTTCATGATAATTAAATACAATTTGGCAATGAAAATATATACAGATTTTCAATTAAGAGAAATGGATTCTGTCATTTTTGCAAAGATAGGCAGAAACAGTAGTAGTATCAAGAAAATACAAAGAGTATGCCTATACCATAGAAAATAGTTTTACAGTACTGAAAACAAAAAAACTCTTTCGTCTGTGTAGTGCATTGATTGCTGGGCAGCAGGATCTGAGGCATTTTATATTTAGAAGATTTCAGGTGATCAACATCTATTACCCTTTACTCAGAGGCCCCATACACTTGCTACAAAGTATACTCTGTTTCTTCCTATTCTCCCTACAGCATAATCAAATTCCATGAAATTTAGTGTCTCCACAGCAATTTGGTGTCTCATTCACCAGCATTTCAAATGAGTTTTTTTTTTTTCTAGACCAAAAGCAGTGGGAAAACAGAAGTAAAACTAGCCAAGCATGCTTTTATTCCTTAATATTTCTAGGCATGATGCCAAGTGTTTAACTCACGTTATTCAATTGTTTTTTATAACAATCCCACGTGATAAGAAAACCAAGAGTCAAAAATTACGTAACTAGCTTTCACAGTTGAGAGGTACCTGAGACCACTTTTAGATTCAATAACTTACTAGAAGGATTCATAAAACTGCAGAAAACAGCTATGCTCACAGTTTTTATAGCAAAAGGACACAAATAAAATCAGCAAAAGGAAGAGATGCTTAGGGTAAGGTCCGGGGAGACCAGACACAAAGTTAACAATTGTCCTCTCCCAGTAGAATCCACTCCCAGTGGATAGCACTTATTTCTTCCAGCAACAGTGTGTGAGGGTACTCATGGAGTGTTGCCACGCAGGGAAGCTCATTCAAACTTTGGGGTCCAGAGTTTTCATTAAGGATCAGCTGTGTGGACTTGGCTAACAGCCTGCATAGCTAACCTTAGCCTCTAACCCCTTCAGATGTTGAACTGATGCCTTGTGGCCCAGGACCCTCACTACAGATAACATCATTAGCATACAATATCTAGTGTGGTCCAAGGTCTGCAGGTAAACATAGACATTCTTATTAGTCAGGAAATTCCAAGAGTAGAGGGTATTTCCTGGGAGATAAGGTGAAGGGCCATACTTTTCTTTGAGCAAGAATCATCCTTTATAGGATAGGCCTGAGATGAAACAGCTAATTAGAAACACAGCTGAGATTTGAACCCACGCATTCAGACCTCAGGTACTTAACCTTATGTGACAGCCCATTTCCCCTCCACCACCAACAGTGTCTCCTCCTATGCTCATTTGACAGTAGGAAAACAAAACAAAACAAAAAACAAAAAAACCCAAAAAAAAACAGAAAAGGAACCCATAAATATAGAAAATAAGTTATACTATTTTTCTAATTTTTAACGTGTTATCCTAGTAATCAGACACTGAGTAAGGGAGTATTTAACCCTAAATAGACTGAAATAGAAAAATCTAAAGATTCTCTTAGCAGGAAAAGATATTATTCACCAGAACAATAGTGCTAGTCTGGATTAGAAAGTCTTGTTCCACTGCATGGCCAAAAGAAATACTGTATTTGAAGTAGTATTTTCTTTCTTTTTGTGATGTGTTTCTTTCTTTCAAAATTTTTCCTTTGAAAACTTTTTAGTGAAATATAACATATACTCAGAAAAGTGCACAAATCATGAAATGTAGCTTTGGAGTTTTACAAACTCAAACATCTGTGTGAACCAGCAGCCAGATACAGAAGCCGCTGGGTACTTTAGATTTGTTCCTACCAGTTTAGAAAAGTCATACCTCCTCTCTTCATTCAAATATTAGCTAAAATTATACGTACTTAGGCATAATTCTTTTCTGACAGCACTATGCAAACTATAATTCCCTCTTCCTTTTTATTTTTCTTCATAGCACTTTTTTTCTGTAGATAACTTAATAGTTTATGTCTACCTACCTCCTCTAAAATACATGCCTCATGAAGGCCATAATTTGTATTTCTTTTGTTCACTAATGTACCCTTAGATCCTAGAACAGTGCCTGTTTCAGTGAATATTTTAACACATATTTAATGATGAAAAAATATTCTTTTTAATTTATCTGAATGCTTTATTTTATTTTGAAACCAAAACAATGACTCCTAGCAGCTGTTTTACCCATAATTTCGAGATTTCACAGATAAAATTGGTGCTTCTTGCATTTAAAAAAAATTTTAAATCTACATTTTTCTTACAAAATCAGAGAAAAAAATTAAACATATAACCAGCAACTAGTTTCAAGTAAGAATCAAGAGGTAAAATGCAAATTTCTATATTTATTCGTGTTTTCCAACTCCTTTTTCATTCTCTCATTATTTGAGCTCTTAACTAAATTTAGCCCACAGTATATTTCATTAACTGCTTCTGCTTTAAACAGGGAATAAGCTACTTCTAATCCTATAAGATAGTGAATCGAATATGAAATATTCAGACCATAATCACTACTTTATATTTTTAAACCTTTAATTAAATAATGATATATCTCAAACATGAAGCTCCTGTATAGAATCTAATTTATCAGCTTAGAACTTATTTTGTGTTTTTTGTATCCTCTCTTCATCTTTACATCTGTGACCAACCAACCCGTTGACATATACATGAACTATTTGATATGTAGGTGTTCCAAGATCCAGAGGCTTTTTTTAAAGTCAGTTTTCTCAAGGCAGATGTTAACAATAAAAGTATGGGAACATTTGCCTTCCATTAGTAAGTTTGTTAAATAATATAGTGCACTTATTTTTAGTGACATTAAATTATATAGTTTTATTTATACTTGTGTTTTCATATTTGTTAGCATTTTATTATTTCTCATTAATAAGTATGTTATAGAAGTAGTATTTTAGACATTTTGCCTATTAGTTGATAGCAATTTATAGGAAACTTTACCTTTTTAATGTTAACTTTTTTCTCTAAAACAAAACTACTTTCTCTTGAACATATTGTTTGATTTTGTGTGTGTGTGTGTTTTTAGGAAGTAATTCCTCATATGGCTAAAGAATATGGATTCCAATATGAACTAGTTCAATATAGGTGGCCCCGTTGGCTTCGTCAGCAGACTGAAAGACAAAGGATTATTTGGGGTTACAAAATTCTTTTCCTTGATGTTCTTTTCCCACTAGCAGTGGACAAAATCATTTTTGTTGATGCTGACCAGGTAATAAGATTAACTACTGTTTTTAGTAATACTCAAACATTTTTTACACTTCTCTCTTAATATAGAAAATAATTCATGTTGCTTATGTTTATTATCTTCATTACAGTGCTTAAGATATGATTGTGATATATAAGCAAAGTATCTTTAAAAACAAAAAGTCAGAACTCCAGGGGAAAATTGGAAGCATTGTAAGAAGTACCAGTTATTATTTAGGACATGGAAGTTTTCTCCCTGAAGTAGTAGTTTTTACGTTTGCGAACTAAAACAAATACTTATATTAGTCATAATAAGAGTAATTAAATGAATTCCTGTAAAGTATGAGCTGATATTTGTTTAAAATTAGCAATTTCTTCTTGCTAGAAAAGCTAGCAGTTCATACAACTCTTATTCTTCCACCTTCAACAGCATTCTTTCGCATTCAACCAATAACCAAATTCTCATCACTCTTATCACTTAAGGAAAAGAGCATTTTAAATTTGGCCAACTTATGCCTGTAGTCTCCGCACTTTTGGAGGCTGAGGTGTGGAGGAAAGCTTGAGCCTAGGAATTCAAGGTCACAGTGAGCTATAATCGTGCCACCGCACTCCAGCCTGAGTGACAGAGTGAGACCCTATCTCTAAAAATAAAAGCAAATAAATTTGGCCAAAAAAAAAGAAAAAAAAAAAAAAAAACCAAGGCCCTCTGCTTTCAAAATTTATATGTCCAAAAATTATGACTTTTTCTTTTTCCCCCCTTGCATTGCTTTTGAATCATTAGTGGGAAAAAAAAATTTGAAATACACAGAATTTCTAAGAAAAAGGTAATATGTAAATGAAAATATAAATTAAATGGATAAGTTAGAATTTATGTGGAACAAAAAGTATATTTTCAAGTCCTATATTAGAATGTACTCATATTCTAAACTCTTATTTATTTTTGTACTCTATTCCAAATTGATAAATATGAAACATTACAATGTAAACTAAGAAAATAGCATTTCTAAACACACTTTTTTTTTTAAGAGACAGGATCTCACTCTGTCATCCAGGCTGGAGTGCAGTGGCACAGTCATAGCTTACTGCAGCCTCAGACTCCTGCGTTCGAGCCATCCTCCCACCTCAGCATCCTAGGAGCTGGAACTCCAGATGCACACCCCCACGCCTGGCTAATTTTTTTTTTTTTTGTACAGACGGGGTCTCACTATGTTGCCCAGGCTGGTCTCAAACTTCTGGCCTCAAGCAATCCTCCCATCTTAGCCCCACACGTAATATTTAATATGATTCTTTCTCCTACCTTTCCTTCAACGTGTACACTAATATTTTTCTAGGAGGCTTAAGTGTATTCAAAAATAACATTGATATTATTTCATTCAAGCTATTTAGAATGATTGGGAGATTTTTCTTTATAATTAAAACTTAACGCTTGTCAATATACAATAATGGAGATTTGCCATGGAATGATTTTGTTATTCATACATGGAGAGACTAAGAGCTCTGCGCTTATGTAATATTTAACCCCTTTCCCAAATATCTGATTCGTAAAATGACTTGTTGATAAATGATACAACAAAATATTCTTGTTGGTGGGTAAGACCACTGTCTTAAAGACTAGGAATATAAATTTTAGTTTACCTTTAACCTGTAAGGGCAAGAGGAAAAAATGTTAAATTCAGTAAATTCATATTACGTGAAAGCACTGTGAGGAAAATACAGCTCTTTGGATTTCTGTAATAGGGTAATAATGATTTAAGATTCCCATAAAAAAGGCTTATGTTATTTTACAGTGTTTATCAGACAGCCTATTTTACTTATTTAGATTGTGAGACATGATCTAAAAGAACTTCGAGATTTCGATCTGGATGGAGCTCCTTATGGGTATACTCCATTTTGTGATAGCCGCAGGGAAATGGATGGGTATCGTTTCTGGAAAACAGGATACTGGGCATCACATCTTTTAAGACGGAAATATCATATCAGGTAAGAAAAGTCATACCCTTACCATTTAGTAAATAATGTATTGAAATACAATTTTCAGTTTTCTTTAAAATTATGCAATAAAAGCAACCAATTACATAGTGTTCATTCCATGCCAGTCACTCTTGTAAACCTTTACGTATATTAAGTCATAAAATCTTTGTGACAATCTTGAGATAGTGTTATCTCCATTTTGTAGATGTGGAAACTGAGGCATATAGCATTTATGTAACTTGCCCAGGCTTACCCTGCTAATATATAACTGAGCTAGGAGTTAAACCCAAGTAATATGGCTCCTAACTACTCCAGAAGATTTAAACTTGGTTTGTGAAATAAAATTGAGATTATATCTTCAGTGCCTCATGGCCTTTTGTAAGGCCATGAGTTTCATGACAGCTTGGAAAAGCTTGGGGTGACCCTAAAAGAGTATGGGTTCTACCAAAATTAAAACAAACTTAAAACTCCTGGGAAACAGTATGAGACATTAGGAGCAAATCTACGAAAGGATTAATTGTTATTAGATCTTAGGATATCTGTAGTTAATACCGTCACTGTAGACATTCATTGGAGGAAAGTAAAACTAAAGCTACATAGACAACATAGGCTATCAAGAAGTAATTCATTTTTGCAGTGCTTTATATGTAGTGGATCTCAAGAAGTTCAGGAGAATTGGAGCAGGTGACAGGCTCAGGGGCCAGTACCAAGCTCTCAGCCAAGATCCAAACAGTCTTTCAAACCTAGATCAGGTAAGTAAAATGTTAACAGAATAATTTTCAGTGTGTATACATAGACTGTTCCAACTCCCTGCTCATAAACTTTAAAGTCTTATATTTTGAGCTTTTTTCTCAAGTTTCTGATGTTTATGTAATTGTCTGTTGGATATCTCTACTTATACATAATTTTTTCACCTCAAGCTCAACATTTTCAAAACTAATAGTATTTTATCCTCACTTTTCCATTCTCAAACCTCTTCTTTCTACTTTATGCCCTGTTTTAGTTACCCTCTGTATTAGTCCATTCTCACTGCTAATAAAGATATACCCAAGACTGGGTAATTTATAAAGGAAAGAAGTTTAATTGACTCACAGTTCTGCATGGCTAGGGAGACCTCAGGAAACTTACAATCATGGCGGAAGGGGAAGCAAACATGTCCTTCTTCACATAGTAGCAGGAGAGAGAATGAGTGCCCAGTTGAAGGGGGAAACCCCTTTTAAAACCATTAGATCTCATGAGAACCCACTTGCTCTCAAGAGAACAGGATGGGAAAAACCACCCCCATGAGTCAGTTATCTCTACCTCGTCCCTCCCACAACAGGTGAGGATTACGGGAATTACAATTTATGAGATTTAGGTGGGGACACAGCCAAACCACGTCACCCTCTTTTTTCTTACTCTCTTCCATCATTGTTTAAACATGCTCAAGTGTCTCTCTCTGATCTTCGAGACAAATCCTTCATCCAGTGCACCCCTACCCTGATATTGCCTTAACATTTTCTTTCACCTCACAAGCACTATTTTCCTAATATCCTATCAATTTCCTCATTATTGCATCTGAAACATTTTAGATAATTTAAGCAGAAGCAAAAGACTCTGTAGCCCATAATCCCTACTCTTTTTCCTTATTTTTATCACAATCATGCATGTTTGTTCATTCATCTGTTGAATACCTGCTGTGTGTCAGATACTCTCCTAAGACCTCAGACATCAGAAAACAAAAACAAGATTTCTTTAGCTCATGATATTTTCATTCTAATAGGAAAATAAAATTTAAAAATAAACAATATTTAAAGATAAACGTTTTAGAGAAAAAAAAACATGAAAGCATGATAGAGAGTTCAGAATACTGAATAGGGGCTGGGGCTTGCAGGTATAAATTGGCCATATGTCCCTATGAAGATGATTTTTGAGTGAATTTTAAGTGGAGGCGTAAAAGCTGACAATGCAGATGTCCTTGAGTATTCCAGGCCAAAGAGAATATCTGATGCAAAGGTCCCAAGGTGGGATTGGGCCTTCCATGTTTGAGGAATAGCAAGAAACTCAGTATGGTTGGGATAAAGATGGGGGGAATAAAGTAAAAATGAAGGAAAAGAGTTAACAGAGGCTCCAGATAATGTAGAAAGCTTAATCCCTTTGTTTAAAAGTCTAGTAAATGGGAAATTGTATGTCAAAATATGAATGAGTTATTCAAGACCACATTGGTAAGTAATTGATTTTTTTTAAATCATTCTTGAAAGTTGGGAGATCTTCAAATATATATGTGTTTACATACAAAATAGGGTCTCTTCACTATTGCCAATTAGTAGAAAACTGACTAGGGTCGTCAGTAAACCTCAATAACATGCCAGATTTTGATTATGAATACATCTTTGGTAATTCTTAATAATTTTACCAATGTATTATTTATAAGGAATTCTCAGTCTTACATATGAATGAAAGTCTATGAAGTTGCCTGTTATCTGCCTATGGACAACTGAAGAAAGGATTCATTTTTCAAGCAATTCAGAAACTGTCCGAGGTGTTCTCGCAGTACTATATTACCACATTTTGGGGATGATTGTCCTTACTCAAATGTAGTTTGGTTCCCACTCCCTCCAATCCACTTAACACTTCTCAGTAAAATCAAAATATCTTTTTTCTTAGGTGAAAATGTGTAGTGAGCTCTTCTTGTTTGTTTTTATGTGCCCTCTTTGCAGCATGGATGTTTTCAACCTGTCCTTTCTTGACACTCTCTTGACTCTCTATTGGCTTCTTTGTCAGACCTTGCTGGTTCTTCTTTGACATCCCTGGCTTTCCTGCTGCAATTTTATTGGTCGAACTACTTTTTCTCTACTTTTCCTTTAAATGTTGCTATTCTCTACATCTCTGCCTTGGCCCACTTTTCACTCTGTACTGTCTCTAGTGGCAGTCTTACAGCCAGTCATAGTTTCAATTTATATCTTTCTATTAATAGTTCCCAAATCTTATCTCTGGCTCTTAGCTTTCCCTTGAATTCCAAACTCCTGTATTAACTCTACTGACATTGCCACATTAATGCCCAAAACTTATCTCAAATTAAAAAGTCAAGAACTCAAGTTCTGTTCTTCTTCCACCATGCGCTCCATCAGCAAATACCACTTAGCTGCCTGTTACAGGTTGGATTACTCAGGAAGCCATCTGATTCTAACATGGAAATTAGCTTGCAGGAAGTTTATTAGGAAGTACTCTCAGGACCAACAACTGTGGAGGAAGGAAATGGAATTGGGGAAACTTTACAAATTCCATTAAGACCTCAGTTGACTGACCCCACAGGGAGCTGTGAAGCTAAGATGGTCCTTCAAAGTTTTCACAGGTTTGGGCAAGTCTTTATTCCTTCATATCAACCAGTCTTTGGTTATGGGCTGCCCCAGGTAAAGGGGTGACCTTGGGTGAGACAACTCTTTTCCAACAGCAGTTCCCTAGAGATAGCTGACAGCTGAGTAGCACTCCCAGCAGCTAGGAGAATAGTTTTCAGATTTGAATGGAGATCTGGTTGCTGCATCACAGCATCCATTGTAGTCCACACTGTACTTCATGGATCATACACTTATTGTTTTACAAGTTCAAAGGAAAACTTGTAAGAGGGAGGTTAGTAGAACAAACTATAGCGCGTACCTCTGGAACTGGTCAAAAGACCACACTTGTACTCATCATCTCCCTTTATTATCCATTCTAGATTCCTCTAACCTAGTGATATGACACAGAACCACCAGGAATTGGGAGGGAAAATAAGCATAACCTCCTCAAGAGAGTCACTGGGAGTGATGATAAGTATGGTCACTTCTATTTTGCCCCCTTGGGCCCATGTAATTTTTCCAAATGGTAGCACAGCACCATAAAATGGTTGTTGATGTAAAATATAATACTGCATCTATAAGATGGCACCTCACCTTTGCAAGAGTTTGACTCCAAACTAGCACCTCTGCTGTGCCCTTAATAAACCATTCCATTGCTCCATTGGCCAGCATCTTCTACATAGTGCAGTATGTGACAGGACTATGGGATCATGTGCCCTCTGCCACAGTGCCTTTGCTATAAATTGGGTCTCTTGGTCTAATACAGTATTATATAGAATCCTTTGTCAGTAGATAACTATAAATCTTTAGATAATGGTGCTAAGTTTCTGTGAGCAAGAAAGGCAAACCCATACATAGAATATGTGTATAGGTCAGTCCAGAAGAATCTGCGTAAAGGACATCTAGTGTAGCCAACTTATCATCAAACAGCTGATTGGTCTTTGCAAAGTATAAGTGCTATATTAGAAGCTCAGTGTTTACCTCTGCTGTTGGCAGCTATAAGAGCTAGATGAGCCTGGGTAAGTAGGAGCCTGTGCTGTTGGGCCCATACACAGTCTCCATCTCTGCCAGCATGTCAACTCCATTCATGTGCCCATTGTGTCATTGGAGTAGCCTATGATCAAGGCTAGCAGACTTCCACAAACCACGTAATTTTGACTGCCTAGTTATTTAGCGCTGATTCTCTGTTGAATGCTTTCTGGTGGCTGTTTAACATGAAGTACCCAAAGATCCTGACAGTTTATGCCACCCCCATAGGCTTATCCAGAAACCTCTACCCCAGAATTTCTTGCCCTTAATCTTCCTATCTTTCTGTTTCTTGGCCTCTGACCAGTTAGTCAAGCCATTCACCACTTCTTATGAATATATTCCAACTATAGACTATTTTTCTTTCTACATTCATGTACCTCATTATGCAGTTTGTATAGAAAGAAAAGTAGCCTATGGTTGGAATATATTCATAAGCAGCTAAAATGGTTCTTAGAAATAAATTTATAGTACTAAGAACCTCCATTAGACAAGAAAAAAGGTCTCAACCTCATCTTCTACCTAGAAACTAGGGAAAAAAGAACAGTTAAAACCAAAGTAAGGTCCTGGCTAATGCAGTAAGACAAGAAAAGGAAATAAAAGGTATACGCATTGGGAAGGAAGAAATAAAACTGCCTTTGTTTGCAAATGCCTACTTAGACAATCCAAAAAAATGACCGAAAAACCAAAATCAGTATACCAATAAGGCATTATAGCAAGGTCAAAGGTTAATATATAATTAATATATAAAAGTATAAATTAATATATAAAAGATTAATATATAAAAGTCATTTTTACTACCTATCAGGTACTATGCTTACTACTTGGGTGACAAAATAATTTGTACACTAAACCCCCATGACATTCAATTTACCTATATAGCAGGCTTGCACATGTAACCCTGAACCAAAAATAAAAGTTTAATTAATTAACCTGGAGCAAAAGACTGATTACAAAGTCTATGGGCTTAGATCAGGTGTCTGAAATAAAGAATAAGTATAGTAAAAGAAAGCTATTTATAAAAAATTAAATACTATTTTGCATAATTTTTTTTTTTGAGGCAGAGTCTTGCTCTGTCATGCAGGCTGGAGTGCAGTGACGCAATCTCGGCTCACTGCACGCTCCGCCCCCCCGGGTTCACGCCATTCTCCTGCCTCAGCCTCCTGAGTAGCTGGTACTACAGGCGCCCATTACCACGCCCGGCTAATTTTTTGTATATTTTAGTAGATACGGGGTTTCACTGTGTTAGGATGGTCTCGATCTCCTGACTTCATGATCCACTTGCCTCAGCCTCCCAAAGTGCTGGGAATACAGGTGTGAGCCACCGTGCCCGGCCATAAGATAAATTTTTTAAAAGTATATTAAAATTATTCCCTTATATTTATAATATACATTTTAGGATTGTATTT